CTCAGAAATCAAGTTCATGAAGTGTTGCTAATTCTTTTCTTTTGTCCAGATTTTATGACTTCCAGTGCCTTGTAGCTTTTTGATCCAACTAGATCAGCGGTTCTCAACCTATGGGTCGCGACCCCATTTGGGGTCAAATGACCATTTTACGGGGGTCGCCAAACAACGCGATCCGCCATTTTTCCCCCTCAGGGGGCGCCGCCGCGCATGCGCACTGCGCACGGGGGCACCGCCGCGCGTAGGGCGCGGCGCATGGGGCGCCGCCGCGCATGTGACGGGGTCGCCGTCACACAAACATTGAGAACCGCTGAACTATATAATACAGATCAGTTATTCTGGAAAATGTTAAGCCCTATCTCTTTAAAGATTTACAAGATTGCTATCATACATTGAAAACTGAATTTTTTTTAATTAACAATAATTAACCACATAGATATTCTCATGGATCATTAATAATCAAACCTAAAATTATAAAGAAATACTAAATGTACATTAAAATATAATTAAGTCTACAAAGTTTAACTACAGTATAATTATAGGGTACCTAATACTTACCAACTATGTATATTCAAAAGAGGGAAGAAAGTGAAATAACACATAATATAGTACAATCAATATTTAAATAGTTCCTTGAATAGCAGAAAAAAATGTGATTCTTAGTAAAGATCCAATCCTTTAATTTGGGATTCTGAATGTTATTTTATTCATAACTGAATTTCTTTTCAACTACATTCCATTATGAGACATTTCTGTATTTTATACTTACACATCTACTATATGTTATTAGCCCTTTGCACAAGTTTTATTATTAGAAAACAACAAAAAACCTTTTCAATGTAATTGTCAACTCTACAATGAGCATGGCTGCAACCATTTTTTCTTCTCATTCTAGGTTGCCACATAGAACAGAGGGAGGGGGGTTGCCCAAGTGCTTCGTTAGTCAAAATAATCTTTTGTCCCGTGGGAACCAAGGTCATTGTCTGCTCCCGTGACAAGCAAATGGATATTGCATAAAAAAGCCCACCAAATGAAAATACTGGGGAACATAGTTACTTGCCTAGTTTTGTGGGTGGGACATTATACTTTGTAATTGGGTAATTGTTACTTGTGTATTCAGAGTTGGTTTCACTTTTGACTGTGCCAATACTTTGTAACTGTAAGTAATAAACATGTTCTTTGAGGAATTTTCAAACCTCGGAGTTCTGCTTTATTCACCTCTGTCTGTCGGAACCATGACAGTAATGTTATCTATAAATATAAATGAAAACAAAAACAAATAAAATTAATAAATATTAAAATAGGTTAACATAATATACTAATGCAGACATGTCAAACCCGTGACATCACGTGATGTATCGGGACGGTTTTGCCATTGCCGGCAATGGGGTGGGTGCGGCTTCTGGATGATGCGTCTGGCCCGTGCGCCGGCAGTTTGACACCCCTGTACTAATAAGTTATAACATTCTTTCAATGGAGACAAAATTGTCAATTGTATTAATAAGAAATTGATAACGGAGAAAACACTTTCTGATTCTCAACATTCATTTCATTACAATATTCATATGTGGATGCTTTTTGTACAGTATGGTGTTTTTATCATACAAAGTCACGCTTGATGATATATCCTAATGCATGAAACAAAAGGTTAAGCATTTTAATATTTATCTCATAATTCTAAGGTTGGAAAGGACCTTGGATGCCTTCTAATCCACTCTCTGCCTAGGAATTTGCATACAAGTACCAACCCAAATAAATGGCTGTCCAACCTTTGCTTGGAAACCTTCATTGATAGAGTCCCCAAGACTCCTGGAAGCAAACTTTAATCTTTCTCTTTAAAAATAAGAGGATTTAGAAGTACTTGCATTGACGTTCACTATTTATATGCAATTTTGTTTCTTGGGGCCAAATTAGATGTAGTACTTTATATATCACAAAATTGTGTTGTATTGTGTTTTACGTACACTAGAATAATAAGGCATTATACAAAAAGAAGATGTTTGCTACTTCCCACTTCCCAGACACTTATCACTGTCTCCCCAAAAACCTGACATTCACTGGTGTCATGGAAGTGGAAAACAACTTAACTAGCAGTTAACTAGCAGTTTTCTTCCTCAAAACCTTATCAATGAACAATGACCAAATTCTGTACCAGTCTTAATGAGATAAATATATCTTAAGCCAAACTCAGCTTTGATGCGATGCAACCTACACATTTTTCTTGGCAATAGTATAGAACTGCCATTGTGTTATTCAGAAATATTTAGTAAGGATGTACAAGAGTTCTTCAAAAAGTGGAATCTACTATTTGTAAATCTTCAGATTTTTTTTCTGAGAAAAGGCAATGCTACTTTAAGGAGTTGCAAACATGCACAACTCTCAAATACTTTTCCAAAATTAAATGCCAAGAGCTATGCAGTCCTAAAATTTAGCCATTAGCCCTAGAATCTTGGTAATTTCTCATTCAGATACTATCCAGGTACATTTCTGATTTATTTCTGAACACAAAGTTTGTCAGGTTCACTTACTTGTTGGGACTGATAGTGATACAGAAGTTGGTTTTTAAAAGTTTGCCTTGATTTTAAGTTTCTGATAGTTAATTTGTATTTTCTGTGTGCTGCATTTTAATGATTGCAAGCTGCTTTCAGTGTTTAAACTTAGTGCAAAAAATAAATCAAATACACTCACAAATGTGCTGCTTCAAATAATATGACTATGTATGACATTAGAATGGCAGTTTATCTTTCTCAAAAATAAAATAATTCAAAAAGAAACTTGGAATAAAGTTTTTCCAAATCAAACATTTTTATCTCATATTATTATAATTCTTTTCAAATTCCTGTTTCTTCAATTCTCTGTTTGCTCAAATAGATCATTTCTGACCACTGAAATCCCATATAGTTATTTTTTTTAAAAAATTATTTAGTTACTGCAATCATATTTTATGGTTAAAAAGCAAGGTTACTGGAAAAACAAAAACCTTTACCAACCAAGTAGTTGGATGCCTCAGAAATTCAGAAAACTTCACAGCTCTAGCTTCCAAATGAATGCAGTATATCTTGTGCAGTTACACATCATGGAACTGTTTGATGTCTCACTATTCATAATCACATGAGCGGCAGTCCTGACAAAACCAGGCTATATTTTTTGCTTTCAGTTAGCTTGCCAGAAAAACAAACTGTTCCACCTTTCATTATAGAGACTCTGAAGCTTACAGCAGAAATTGCTTAGTTAGAGACTGACTTATGTTTGTGAGCTAATTGTGGTTAAACTCCATGAGTCTTTCCCCACACACAAAAGGAGAGAATGTTCAACATCATCATCTGTAAGTAAAAGGAAGTATAAAAACTCTGGGTTGACCTAACTTTGTTTGAAAACTAGGATCTGAACATTTTCTTTTGTTTCAAGCTTTGCTGCTTCCATTTTTTCCACTGCTTCTAGTTTCAATAATCTCCAGAGTAGAGGCCTTGAATTTACAGACTGGACAAGTACACAGATTACCTTGAATAATCATACAAATCAAATATAAGATGTACAATTCTGTTTGCTTAATGGTTTCCAAAATACAACCAATGCATATCAATTAATAGGTACATATTTTAAAGTTCTTTCCCCCCATGTGTATGTTTGTGTATTCATATTCCTCATCTTTTGTAGGCTTAGGCCATCTTCATTCCTAATTTCAGTCAGATCCTGACAGGCACTGTTTAATTCATATTTCGTTGTACTGTAATTGAACATTTAATTTTGAGAACTGTTTTATAGTGTATTATGTAACACTAATGATCAATGTTAAATTTGAACTTATTTTCCTTGGATCTTGCTGGGTTATCTTTGGGCTTGGGTTTGACAGTCCTCAAAATTAAAGCAAATGCAGTGTCACTGCAGTCATGTGATCATGAACTGGGAGCTCAGCAATTGTGACAGCATCTTTCAGTTACGTGATCTCCATTTGCAACTTTCTTTGCCAGCTTCCTAGAAGCAAAATTAATGCAAATGGCAACCACATGACATCCTTGCTTAATGACTCACAGTGATTCACTTAAGGATGACAACTGGAAGGGTTTGAATTTTCATTGGTAAGTTTTGTGGTCATGTAATGTTGTGATTTACATTGCTTAGCAATGGAAATTCTGGTACTTCCGGTTGCTGTCATTAAATAAGGACTATCTGTAGTTGGTATTTCTTCAGATCTTGCTCAGTTCAGTTAAAAGATGGGTTTAACCTTCCACTCTTAACATTCCTATTTAATTGTTAACAGTGCTTAATTAAATACTGTGACGACTAATGTTTCCAATGACATTACATATTAATTAGAGTAAAATAAAAAATGGTGTGATGAGTATTTCCATTTACACTGTTTTGTGCAAGCATATTGAGCATGTGTGATGAACTAATTTTTTTTCCTTCCGTTTTATTGTTTCCAATTCTCAGACTCCCTGCACTCTTCTTGGCAAGAACTAAATATAAAGATCCTGCTTTTTAGTCTATAACAAATATACCAGAAAATAGTTTCTATAGTATTTTCTTTTGTCTAGCTCTATTTGGATCACACAATTTATATGAAGATCACATTTCTGCACCTTTTTGTATATTTGACTACATACACAGAAACTGCAGAGGAAATGGGAAATTACATTCTGTATGAATTGCTGGCAGAATGTTTCAATTTAAAGGAGAATTAACTGAATGTTTCAATTTAAAGGAGAATTAACTGAATAACTTGACAAGAGTTATTGTTTTCTAATAAAAGCAGCAAATGTATCTATATCTTTCTCTGTTTGTTTTGGGAGAATACCTTTCTTCAAATAATTTTTACAATTATGTTTAGGCTGCAGATCTATTAATATTTAGCTTGAAGCAAGCATAATGTAACAGGATTTCAAAGTAAGCATTAGGGTTTTAACTTTTAATTGAGAGCAGTCCAAAGTTGGTTAGAAGATAGGCAGCTATATAAATGTTTTAAATTAATAAAATAAAATAAAATACATATGTATTTTTAGATGACAGTGCTTCTGCTGCCAGCAGCATGGAGGTGACAGACCGCATAGCTTCACTTGAACAACGTGTTCAGATGCAGGAAGACGACATTCAGTTGCTCAAGTCTGCTCTGGCAGATGTCGTTAGGCGTTTAAATATTACTGAGGAGCAACAGGCCATGCAGAACAAGAAAGGACCTACCAAAGGTATTAACCCCCCCTTCAAATTCACCTGTATGTGTTACAGTGAAAATATTTTTAACCAGTTAAGATAAGATAAACAGAATTACTTGAGAATATTTTTTGCATGATATTTTTCTAAGATAGATAGTGATTAGTTGTATGGTTTAACCTGAATATTGAATCTGAAGTATATTTTTTAAAAAAGTCTTCTCCAAGGGGTATACATGGATAAGTATTTTTCAAATTTCTAATCAGGTCTCAGATCACTGTTAAATTTGACTGGAATTCATTCTATTCATATTTCTGTTTTTTATTAATATTAACTAATGTTTATCTAAATCAGTGGTTCTCAACCTTTTTAATGCCGTGACCCCCAACCAGTCGTAAGTCGAGGACTACTCAACCGATCGTAAGTCGAGGACTACTCAACTGGTGCAGTACCGTTTGCAGAATGGGACTTTTGGCGGGCTCAACAGGGCAGAGATAGCCTGGACAATTCCTATTGGCTTTTGAAAGCCAATAGAATTAGACTCTATTCAAGAGAGTCTATTTCTATTGACTTTCAAAAGCCAATAGAATAAAAGGGAGTAGCACAGCTAAGGGAAAAGGGGAAAAAATGGCGGACTGCATTTGGTGACCCCCATGAAATGGTCGTTCGACCCCAAATGGGGTCCCAATCCACAGGTTGCGAACCACTGATCTAAATATTTTAGTTGTATTAATGAATGCAAAGAATGTTTAAAATATGCCAAATTATTCCAGAAATATTTGAGGTAAACTGTGTTTTTGCAATATTTTATTCTAAATATTTGTATATCATGGCACAAAAAACAACACCTGACCTTTTTCATTATCTTGTATATCTGGTAAAACATCTAAACATGTTACTGTTTATGGAATGACATATTTTATGTCTGGTGCTGACCTAAATTTTTTATTATGGGCTTAGAAAGATTATTTGTTTCTCAAAATCTCTTTATATTTATACTTCCATATTAAGGATGGCAGTTTGACCATTTAACCAGTTTTTGCCACAGTCACATAGCTGAGGTTTATAGCAAATGACAAAGCATCAGTTGTGAAATTCCTTATCTACTGCCCTGTACAAATTTCAATTTTCAAGGCCAGAAGAAATATACTATAGGATCTGATGAAATTTTTTGAAAATCTGACAAATGAGTGAAGTTCCATATCTATAGGATGAAAATAAATATTATTTCTTCCTTCTAGAATAGGAACAGCAGACCCAAGGGAACAACAAGGTCAATATGTCTAACATTCATCAATAGGAAGCTTTATAGTTAATAATGTTTAGTATGGCTTGTTGAAGAACATGTCCTGACAATCTCATATTTTGGATTGGTTTATTTCTTAATATATTGTGGAAATGTTATATATTGATACCAGCTATGCATTTAACAAACACTCAAGAAATGTTGATTAGCAGGCTAATCAGATTTGAATTGAAGGTGAGATAGTTAACTAGACACTTAGTTATCTTGCAAATCATTCTCAAAGAATGAACTCAGTGATTTCATATCAAAATGATGTAGAGTATTGAGTGAAAATACTAGGGATTCAGTCTTGGAGTATATACTTCAGCATTTCTTTTTTTTTATTGAAAATTTTTAAATTTTACAAAACAATTCCCTTCCCCAACCCCCCCCAACCCTCCCATACCCTCCCCCAACTCCCCAAACCTCCCATACCCTCCCCCAACCTTCCCAGAGCTGAGTACAGGCTTAGTTAAAATTTTTCAAAAAAAACTTAAAACACATATAAATCCTAAGCAAATCTAAATACATTAAATTAAACAAGTTATCTTCTCTTAAAAATAATAATTACAATCATTAAACACGTTATAATATACTCTAAACATTTTCTAGTATCATAGTTATATTATTATCCATCATTCTTTATAAACTCCCTCCAAAACACAAATTTAAACATTACTTAAAACATTAAAATTCCCTTATACATATTTAAAGCAAAATGTTCCTTTAAATACTCCTTAGATATCTATACATACAATATAAAATCTAATCTCTCCCTCTTTCTTTATCCTAAGACACAAAAATAAACATATAAACATTCATTATACCATTAAAACTAAATACTCTTTTGAATAGTCCTTAAATTGCTAAACTTAAACTTCTTATCTAAAATTTTCATTCGATCTCCATGATCTTCTCTCCTATCAAAAAAAAAACTTAAAACACATATAAATCCTAAGCAAATCTAAACACATTAAATTAAACAAATTATCTTCTCTTAAAAATAATTTTTATAATTACAATCATTAAACACATTATAATATACTCTAAACATTTTCTAGTATCATAGTTATATTATTATCCATCATTCTTTATAAACTCCCTCCAAAACACAAATTTAAACATTACTTAAAACATTAAAATTCCCTTATACATATTTTCCTTGTCAGTCTCTCTTATCCATAAACCTCGAAAGAAGTGCTTTGAAATCTGCCCTTAAAGGTAGCTCCAAAAAGTTTATAAATCTTGCTTCTCCCACAGACTCCGGAACCAATACTTGTGAGGCTTCCTTAACCTCCTTCTTCTGTTGCTCCTTTTCTTTATGTTTATATGTTGCACGGGTTATCCTCTGCTCCTTCATCTCAACTTGTTGAGGCCCCTCAAATTCTCCCACAGATTCAGAAACCAACACTTGTGAGGCTTCCTTAACCTCCTTCTTTTGTTGCTCCTTTTCTTTACAGTTATATGTTGTACAGGTTGTTCTCTGCTCCTCCATCTCAACTTGTTGGGGCCCCTCAAACTGAAAATTCCCATTTTTCATAAATATAGGTTCTTCAGACTGCAATTCTACCTTCTTCTCTTCCAAAACTTTAAACGTAATAGATGGCGATGAACATACCCCCAGGACCGAAGTGTAAAAGTCTTTTGCTTTAGAAACAGTATTAAGTCTATAACGTATCCCCAGGTAACTCACCACCATTCCAGTCGGAACATCCCATCTGAACAAGATTCGCCTCTTTTTAAGTTCATCTACTAAAAAAGCAAACTCCTTTCTTCTTCTTAGAATTTTAGATGGGATCTCCTTTAAAATTATAACATCTTGTGAAGCAATTTGAAACCTCTTCTTATAAGAAGCTTGTATAATTTCGTTGCGCAGGGATCTTTTCCCAAAATAAATTACCACATCTCTTGGCAAATTCTTTTGCTCTGCCACCGCAGAGTTAACTCTAAATGTTTTTTCAATTTCACTAAGTATTTCCTCTTTTTCTCTATTCAAAATCACAGCAAAGTCATTTGCAACCATCTCTCTCAGATCTCCTTGCACAGACTCTCTCAAGCCTCTGATTCTTAAAGCATATTCCATTTGTCTATATTGAAGCATAAGAATCTCATCTTGAAAATTTTCCATCTCTTTTTCCATGCTTTCAAATTTTCCCTCCATCAGTTCCACTTTTTCTTCTACCTCTTCTACGCGAGAGTTCAGCTTTTCAAGAACAGAGGCTACTCCTTTTAAAGCCAAAACTATCTCTTGCCTCAGAATCTTGTTATTTTCCTCTAAAATCTCTTTAATTTCTCCCCTAATTTGAGATATAACATTTCCCATCATGTCTTGCAAATCCTTCACCATTATTGACTGTGCCAGAGGAGAGGGTGAAGTTTTTGATTTAGGTTGTTGCGCTGATGATAACACCGAAGAAGAAACCACCTCAGGAGCTGTAGGAATTACTGGACGCTTTGGAGCCATCTTAAAAAAATCTTTACTCCTTAAAAATTACAAAAGTTAAGCAGGAAAGAAAAAGAGAGATTAACTCCCAAAAAAATCAAAAAATCTTTCAAAAGGAGATCATTGTAATAAAAAAAAAGTTAAAAAGAAGAAAAGGGAAAGAGAAAAAAATGATTAAATAGAAAAAATCCATTCCATTTTTTCCTTAAAAATACAAAAAACAAAACTAAAAAGTTAAACAAAAATAATGATCTTCCTAAAATCCAAACCCAACATCAAAAAATCATTATAAATAATCAAGTCCACATTACGTTCCAGTCATTAGAAAAAAGGGGGAAAAAAAAACACCGAAAAGCCTGCCGATCGCCATTTTACTTTCCCTTTCAACAAAGGAAAAAAATAAAAAATAAAAAGAGGGAATATAAAAATAAATCTTAAAATCCAAATAAAATCAAAGAAAGCAAAAGCAAAATCCTCTACTCAGCTCTGTCCGCTTCTAAGAAAAACTCACCAGATCACTTTAATCGCGGAGGTGGTTGCAGCGGCTTGTTTTGTCCCAGGAGACAAAAGCAGCTGGGAAGCGGAGACAGTCTGAACTCCGTGGGAGCACTCCTTTCACCCCCCCCAAAAAACCTTGGGGGTGCATAAGAGGCTCTACCACTATTCAGACAATCCTCTTCCCCCCCCTTTGCCCGGGAGGGGGATTTTGAACCGCTGAACAGCTGATGTCCGCTGCTCAAAGCGATTCAAACACCCAGGACGGCTACAAAGTAGCCGCCATCGTGCACGCAGATCCACCGGAAGCTCCATACTTCAGCATTTCTTATTAATAACATAGATGGAGAAGTTATCAGATTTGCAGGTGATACAATTGGGTGGAATCATTAAGAGTTTAGAAGATTAAAAAAATGAGAATGATCTCAATAAATCAGAGAAATGCTCTGAAAATAGCAAACCAATTTCTTAAAAATGCAAAGTGTTTTATTTAGGGAAAGAAAAAAAAAAGAAATGCACAGGTATAGAATGGGCATATTCAGTCCTTGTGAAAAGGGATCTTCCAGTAGTAATAGATTACAAATTGAATATCCATCTCCAGTTTCCACAAGAGAACTTTTTAAATAATGGATAATTGTTTTTCTACTTTAATCTGCAGTAGTCAGATCTTACTTCAAGTATTGTATGCACTTCTAAGCTTGTAAATGTCAGCCTTTTTTTTTTTCATTTCACAGCAAGACCACTAATTCAAACACTGCCTTTAAAGACTACTGTCAATAATGGAACTATCTTACCAAAGAAATCTAGTGGTTCTCTACCTTCTCCATCAGGAACCAGGAAAGACATTGTATCACCAGCAACAAAAAGGTACTATCGTTACAATATATGTACTTATCTTTAGCTTTTAAAATTACTATTCTGTTTATCTCTCTCTAAGTAATATTTTCAGGATAAATTTCTAGACAAATTAAATTACAATAGGAAACCTTGTTGAAAAGTCTAACTTTATTCATATTGGATTAATTAATCAGAATGAATGCAGTTGCAAGATATTGTAAGTGGCCATACAATTAGACTATTACTGTCTTTTTTCAATTTCAGGTTAAGAGCAAGAAATGTCTAGTAAGGATTTTGTCACCTGTTTGGAAACTGAGTGTCTTTGTTTTTATACCGGACCAGTAGAATAACAGAAATGTTCAATATACATGAAATCTGTCTTATAGCCTCACCATTTGGTTTCCATTGACAATTGTATAATAAGATAACTGGTTTGTTGGGTTTTTTTTTTGCTATACCTTTGTGAAAGTAACTGCCCTACCCTATCCTACCATACCCTACCATACCATACCCTACCCTACCCAATTATACCACACCATATCATACCATACCGTGCTTTGGATAAGAAAACAAAATACTTTGGGAGTGTTCATGTAGAAAGGTAGTCCTCTCTCACCAACTGTCTCCTTTAGTGATTGTTCATTGTTTAATGGGGTGAAAAAATTAGTTTTGCCATCACCCTTCACATTTATGACCATTGCTATGTCATGCGGTCACATGATCATCATTTGCATGCTTTATAACCAGCTTCTGACAAGCAGATGCACAACGTGGAAGTAAAACCATAAGTTGTGGTCATGTGATGTATACATTCAGGCCCGCCAATCTCTCCTGATATGTTTTGTCTCTCAGACTTTGCACCATTTTTGTTGCCCATCTCTGGACTCGCTCCATCTTATCTGGAGACTTAAATCTCCAGAACTGGACACATACTGTATTCCAAAAGGGCTCTGACTAAAGGCCTATATAGTGGTAGTAGGCTCTCCTTTTTCCTCTTGGTGATTCCTCTAGTGATGCATTGCAGACTTTTGTTTGCCTTCACAGCTGCCCGACCATATTGTTTGCTCATAGTTTAGTCATCTACTATGAGCACATCTAAATCTTCTTCTATTCTGCCTAATATTGTACCCTCAATACTGTATCCTGCCAAAGGATTCATTTTCCTTAAGTGCATAAATTTTCATTTAGAAAATTGAATTTCAGAATCTAGGACTGAGCTTTGCATGATCATTGGAAAATTTGCATTTGGTTTAAGAGTTGCAGAGTGTACCTTTCTGTTCCAAAATATTGTTTTGTGTTTGAATCCAAAAGCAATATGGAATTCTGTTGCTTATGTTTTGTCTTGACGAGCCATGAAATTAAAATACAATAAAGCTATACCCTTCTTTTCCACTTTTGTCATAAGAAAAATAACTTTTTTGTGACATTTCATTTCTATTTTTTTAAAACTAAGCCTGTTGAATATGTCTCCTAGTTTCCTTTCATCAAACCACCTTGAAATGTTTTCTTTTTTAAAAAAAAATTGAGACTACAGTGTTTGGAAATAAAGAATGATATTTATTTATATTTGTCTCCAGGGTGGGGTACTTTTTGTAAACATTCCTATGCAGTAATTGCATACCACCAACCAGAATAGAAATCTAGCAATATGCTGTGCTCACTTCTGCATAAAACATGGAAATATGACTTCTTTCCATATAAATTTAAGTATGTTTGCCAACACAAAGTGGCATGCAAATACTGCCTGTAATTTCTTGCAATTTGCAGGAATGGAAAAAAAAAGGATGGTAGAGTATACTGCGAAAATAAATGTAAGAGTATTCATAGCATTTAGCTTTCCTAGCCTACCCCTAAATTACAATTTTTGTAGATAGAAAATCACAAAGTCTTGTGTTCTAAAATTTAACTCTGTTTCTAACAGCCAATGCTTACCCAACACCGATTATGAGATGGGTCTCATCTAATCTCATTTGGTCTTTTAATGGTCATTAGAAAACATTCAGCTAATCGTAATAGTTAATGGAGATGCAGACAAAAGTTTCCAAAGCAAACTGGCTCATTCCATCATGGATGTAATTATAACCCAGGCAAGCTTGTTATTAATATGGCTTACTACCAATCTTAACTCATTTTCTCACTGTCTTCTAAAAAGTAATATAACAAACATGCTAAAATAATTAATAACAATCATTGTATTAATGAGGTGATGTATTAGGCTATTTTCAGAGTTTTATTTGTGTTAATTCTTTCACTATCCAGTACCATAGATAATATATTTTATAATAAAGGCCATAATAAAATTAATGAAGTTACATGGGAAAAGACTGTAAATACGTACATTCACAAATAGACCAGTAAAAGGAGAATGAGGGCCAGGGTACCCATAACTTCCTCATTATAATAAACTTTGCCTACTTTATTCTGATGCTTTCTTTCTTGGTTTTGTAATAACAAAAGGATTGGATGTTTTATTTTATTCACAGTGTTTTAATTATTTTTTTTCTGAAAGTATTTTTGTTTAAGAAGTTTTTGTATCCAATTTTTTTATTTCAAATAGTTCTACAGAAAACATTTATACCGTATTATATCAAATTTCGATACGTAAAATTACAAGCCATTTTCAAGTTATACCTAAACCCCATCAACATCTCTTTATTTTTGAGAATAACATTATCAAACAGAATTTGGATTAGGTATATTTCTGTTTCTGGGGGGGGGGGAGTATTTTGGAACTGCAACTAAACTGTAAAAGAGTGATATATTCCTTGTTAACTGATAATAGTGGCAGGGTGAATATATTCAGATATGATTGCCAGCTGAATCATTTAGGTGTACAGTATGTTCAGGTGACTTCTAGGATATAGGGACAGCCTGACACCTATTGGCCACTTTGGGGTGTGTAAGCATGCTCCCTTCCCTGGGATTCTGAGCAGTTTTCCATCTCACCATGCTCTCTTTTAGTGTTAATTTTTGTTTGCTAGATATGTTTTAGCTCTGAGTTTATATTCTTTAAAATTCTTTTAAAGCAATCAGAACAGATAGCTGTACAATGGAATAGGTGAGCAAAAGAGCTTATCTCATTTAACTGGGCAGCTCACTCAGTCTGCTACCCAGCAGGCTTGCAGCTGATCTGTGGATATAGCTGAGTAAAACATGCTATATAAAGAGGACCACATCTGTTTTATGAAGCCCTGCCCCAGTTTCTACTTCAGATAACGTATCGTAATAAGACATCCCTTCAGTTTTGCTAAACAGATATAGCTAATCTTTTTGAATGTGTCATTCATTAGCAAAGAGTGCAGTTTAGGCTCCTATCACAGCTATATGTATTCTGTACCAGTGTCCATCTCCCCAAAGTAAAGGGTAGTATCTGACTATTACTAATTCCACAAATCAATTTGCAGATTTTTCTGTTTCTAGTAATTGAGGAAATGGCAAATGTCTATGATGTGCAGTAACTATTATCTCATGATAGCAGTAAGTTGTGTTCATTTTTCACCCTGTCTAGGAGCTTCTAATATCTCTCTAGATATTTCCAACAAATTTGTTTACTGACACAATCATCAAGATGATGAATTTTATGACAGTACTTAAGTATGCAGTTGTGCGATGAAAACGGAGAAAATTGACAGCAATTAAGATACATTTCAGACTTCCTATGCATGCTCTAACTTAGTATAGCAATCATGTCTACATAGTGTTGTCCAGTATTGCATGAAGCAAGTTTGCACAACTTAGTTCCTTTATATATGTACACACTCATATGCAGCACTATAAAATTAAGAATGCAGCTTCTGTGCTGTTCTATATGTAAATGAGACAAAGAGAAAGAAAGAGGGGGGAAGAGATGAAAGCTCAAATTACCTCATCCATACTCTCTCAGTATCATATTAAAGAAGAGAACATGTTTGCCTGTACTATCTCCAGCATGTCCAGATGCAGGAGTGTGTTCCTTAGGCTTTAAAGTGGTTAGGTTTTTGCCTCAGTTTTTGTAGAACTGCCCATATGGCCAAATCCATCCTTTCCCATTTTTAAGAAAAGGAATGCAAACAAATCCCATATGTGCTGGATTTTATTTTGTGTAAATTGGGTCAAAGAGAAAAAGAAAGGAATAAAAGGGGAGAATTATAGTTTGGCTACTAAAATAAAAGTCAGCTTCTTCGGGAGCTTAATTTATGTTGAAAGTCTTTTAATGTCCATGTCTATCCTGCTCCCCCTCAATTTGAAATTACAGATTAGTAACTTCAGTTTAAAAGAATTTATTTATTCAAAAGATTTGCAAGGATATCGTCTTAAACACAACTCTAGGTGGCTTACAATAATAAATCATAAACCATGAAACCATAAACCATAAGGCCAAGAAAGGAAAACCTGCTGCTTCGATCATCCCTTGGTTGCCTCACAGCGCCAGCCATCCTCATTCTATCACAGTACCTGGGTGAAAAGCCAGGTCTTCATGTTCTTTTGAAAAGCTAAAGGGACGGGGGTAGAGGGTGGGGGGGGGTGGCAAGAGATCTTCTGAATCCCTAGGATAATTGGTTGGGAGGGGCACTTTGGAAGAGTTCAGGATATGGTTGAGGCTAATGATTGTGTCTTCAATCAGTGTTGTTTTCTACCAGCACTATTAAAAGAACCAACTCGGCTGAAGGTGTTTCTCCTTGTGGTCGGAGGGAAAGTTATGGGGATTCCAAAGGCAACCGCAATCGAGCTGGATCCACAAGTAGTTCATCTAGTGGCAAAAAGAACAGCGACTGGTATGAAAAGCAGAATTTCTAAGTTATATTTATTTGTGGCTCAGGAAGTTTAAGAGAAGATATTCCTTCATTGTGGTCTTTGTGATTTAAACGCTATGAAGAGCCTCCTATAATTTCAATAGTTTGGTGGGAGCCCTACTCCATTGCATTACGTTTGCTGAATTCCTTCAGCTTGTTTTTATAACCATAATAGCTCTATTAACTAAATATGTTTATGTGTATAAATTATGATCTTAGATTAACAATTTTAAGATTAACATAAGATTAATACTATTGTAATTCTACTCTATCCATTTTTCCAAATTCTAGTGTTAGAGAATGACTATAAGTCACTTAATTCCCTTTTTCTCTGGTTCTGTCAGATGTATTGGCAATTGGCCTTAATCTAGCAGGTAATTCTTTGGAGAGAAAAAAAACTTCTGTTCTCTTCAGTCCATGAAGGGTTTTCTGTGATGAATAGATTAAGATGCTGCGTCTTTTTTTGTCCTGCCAAACTTTCAGATTTTTAAGATACTGTTATTCTCCCTTATTACAATGAAGGGCTGTTACCCTTCTGTATCTGTTTCTTGAACAGGCCTATTTCAAAGGTCTACTAAGTTAGGCTCCCACCAAAGAATACTGTAAACTCTAGAAAGTTCTAAGAAGGTTCTACAAGAGCCTATAGCCCAGGAAAATTCTCAAGTGAATATTTGAAGAACTTGCAAGTAAGTAAATAAACTTGTTGTGGAGGAATTTAAAGGAATAAAAATGAAATGCTCATATAAAGAGTATTTCAGTTATGAGATAAAAATAGATGTAAAATGGATGGGGATCCAGTGTTGGACCTAAAATGAAGCACTGTACAGGATATAAAAGTGGATATTAATTATTTCGACAGCATTGCTTGAATGGAAGAAATTACTGCAGTGCAACAAGAATTGGCTGGAAGTTTAAAATAGTCAGGGTAAGAGAATTTAAAAATATAAGCAAATTTTAGAATGTTGAAAAAGAATCAGAGTTACAGTGATAGGGAGTATAAAACATTAGTCAATCTCTTGGATGACCTGTGTCAAGATCTGAAAGGAGGTAGTGTATCAATATCCTGATTTTGCTGGGCATTTCAGCAGCCTTTGATATCATTGACAGTTCTATCTTTTTAGACCACTTGCAGGAGTTGGGGATAGGATATATTATTTTTTTTTTTTTTTTTTTTTATTGAAATTTTTCAAAAGTTTTACAAATAAGAATCCACCCCCCCCTCCCCAACCACCCCACCCCCCCCCCCGACTTCCCAGAACTGAATATAGGATTATTTAACAAATATTTTAAAAATAACATTTGCAATTTATAAAATAATTAATAATAATAATAAAAATCACAGTAATAATATATATAATAATAATATACATAACATAAACTTTAAAATGAATAATATATACTAAAAAAGAAAAAAAGAAATAAGAAGAGAGAGAGAGAAAGAAAAAAGAAGAAAGTAGACGAAGAATAAAGCATATATATATAAAAAAAAAAATATATGAATAATAATACGTAAAAAATGTATATATATAAAAAAGAAAAAGAAGAAAGAAAGAAAGAAAAAACAATCATTACAAATTATAAAAAGGCTAAATAATATTTTTCCATATCCAAATTATGTTGTATAAAATTTATCCATTTTTCCCATACCGCAAAAAATTTTTCTTGAGATTGCTCCTTTAAGAAAGCCGAAATCTTTGCCATTTCTGCCAAATACGAAACTTTATGAAACCATTCTTGTAAAGTAGGCAAAGATTCCTTCTTCCAATATTGTCCTATTAACAACCTAGCGGCTGTAATCAAATTTAACATCAATATAACCTCCTTAGCATCACAGTCAATAACAATACCTAGTAAAAATAATTGCGGAGTAAATTTTACCCTCCTTTTAAAAATTCTTTGAATATTCCACCATATCTTAATCCAAAAAGCTTTTATATGCTTACACGTCCACCAAATATGGTAATAGGTAGCATCCAAATATCCACATCTCCAGCATTTCGGCTGTAGATTAGGGTACATAATGGACATTTTCTTTGGGTCAAGGTGCCATCTATAAAACATCTTATAAAAATTCTCTCTTAAATTTTGCGCTTGTGTGAATTTAACATTTCTTATCCAAATAAGTTCCCAAGTATCCATTGAAATCGTTTCACCAATATTCTGTGCCCATTTAATCATACAATCTTTAACTAGTTCAAGTTCTGAATCTAATTCCACTAAAACCCCATAAACTCTCTTAATATGGGTTGGCCTTTGATCTCTTACTTGTTTTAAAAAAATTTCATCTTCTCTAAGCCAGCCCATTTTACAATCCATCTTCCATCTATCCACTATTTGTCTATATTGGAACCATGAATAAGTTAAATTTTCATGTGTTAATTCTTCCAAAGATTTTAACTGCCAGTCTTGGCCATCCCATCTTAGTAACTGTACGTAAGAGACCTTGTCCATATTTACCCCTTTCCTTATACCTTCTATGGCATGCCGAGGTATAGCCCATAATGGTATTTTGAAGTCACTTTTATAATACTTTCTCCACACTCTTAGCAAAGAGTTTCTTATAATATGAGACTTAAAAACCCAATCCACTTTTTTATTAAATATTAAATAGGCATGCCATCCAAAAAGTAGGTCCCAGCCTTCCAAATGAAGTATTTCTGTATTTGTTAAATTCACCCAGTCGCTAATCAATGTCAATACTACAGCATCATAATACAATTTCATATTTGGTACCTTGAGTCCACCTCTCTCACGAAAATCTTGCATTATTTTAAGTTTCACCCTTGGTTTTTTCCCTGCCCAAACAAATTTATTAATACCTTTTTGCCATTCATCTAAATTACGTTCGTTCTTTAAAATAGGTAACATTTGAAACAAAAAAATAAACTTTGGCAGGACATTCATTTTAATAACTGCAATTCTGCCCATAAGGGATAACTGTAAATTATTCCAGTTTTTTAAATCCTTCTGTACCTCCATCCACAGCTTTTCATAATTATTTTTATACAATTTTACATTAGAAGCAGATAATGTAACCCCCAAATATTTTACCTTATCAACGATTTCAAAGTCTGTTAAGTTAACTAAAGCCTGTTTATCACCATTAGTCATATTTTTAGCTAATATTTTGGTCTTATTATTATTAATTTTAAAGCCAGAAACACGTCCATATTGTTGAATCAATTGTAATAATTTCACCACCGAAGAAACAGGTTGAGACAAAGTAACAACCAAGTCATCTGCAAAGGCTCTTAATTTATATTCTTTTTTATTAATTTCTATTCCTTTTATTTCTTGAGACTCCCGAATTTTAATCAACAAAATTTCCAGTGTTAAAACAAACAATAACGGAGACAACGGGCATCCCTGTCTTGTTCCTTTTTCTATTACAAAAGCCTCTGACAAACCCCCATTTACAATAATTTGAGCAGTCTGTTTTTGATATATATTGGATAATACTTGTAATATATTTTGTCCAAAATTCATCTCCTTAATTAAACACAGCATAAACTGCCAATTCACTTGGTCAAAGGCTTTTTCAGCATCCAAAAATATCAGGCCTGCAGAGACTTGGTTATTCTTTTCTAAATACTCTAATAAATTAATAATTTGTCTAACGTTATTCTTCATATACCTTCCAGTTATAAAACCCGATTGATCCCTATGTATAAACTGCTGCAAGATCCCCATAAGCCTGTTAGCTAAAATTTTTGCAAAAATTTTATAATCCACATTTAAAAGAGATATAGGCCTATAATTTTTAGGCAAAGTAAGATCTTGACTATCTTTTGGAATCAATGATATAAATGCATTACGCCAGGATGGAGGGATCTCTAACCCCTGTAATAAATTATTAAACAGTTCACACAACGGTTGAATCATCTCTTCTACTAAAGCTTTATAATAAATAGATGTCAACCCATCCGTACCCGGCGCTTTGCCCAATTTCAATTGTTTAATAGCTGTAACAATTTCTTCCTTAGTAATTAAACCGTTAATCTTTTTTTCCTGATCTTCTGTTAATTTAGGAAAGTTAACTTTGCCTAAATAATTATTTATATCTGTAATTTGAATATTAGTACCCTTATATAATTTTTGATAGTATTCTAAAAAAGATTTCTTAATCAATTCTTTCTGATAAACCAATTTACCATTATAATTTATTTTATCTATATTCCTCTGTTTCTGTTTTTTTCTTAACTGATAAGCCAACCATCTCCCTGAGGATATATTGTTTAACAATTGTTCTGCTCCTTTCTCAATGAATAGTTTCAATTTATGCAGTGGGGGAAAAGATGTTGGTTCAGTAGCCCCGAACGTGTATGGTGTAAGGATCAGTCCTTTCTCCACTGCTGTTTAACATCTATATGAAGTTATTGGTTGAAATTATAGAGAGTTTGGAATACAGTACCATCAGTTTGCTGATGGGATCCGATTCTACATTGCTACCCCATTCCAGTCTGTAAGGGATAACTGTTATTGTCCTTCGGCAATGTCTGGAGGCTATGAGCAACCAAAGGTACAGGCTGAAATTAAATCCAACTAAGATGGAGTTGCTGTTTGTACTTAAGTGTGTTTATTCCTTGATGAGCAAGTACTACTTGTGAAAGAACAGGCTCATGACTTGTGGGTAGGAATTCTTGACTCATAGCTTCTGCTTGAATAGCAGGTGAAAGGCATGGAGAGTATGCCCAGCTGCAACTGGTGGGCCATTTTGGCCTTATATGGTGACGGAGGACCTGGCTACAAGAATTCATTCTCAAATTACCACATAGACACTGTAGTAGTTTATGTGGTAAATTAAGAATGAATTCTTGTAGCCAGGTCCTCTATCACCATATAGTTCCAAATAGTCTTTAAGGCTTCACTTAAAGAATATTTGGAATTATAATTGAACCAAAATGTGGCAGTCTGCATATTTATTAGCAATCAACAATAGGAGCACATAATGCCAATTCTATAGACGGCACCTGGATAACTACAAGACTATGTACTAGCATTGATATAACCTATTGGAACATCCAGTGAAAAGTTAATAGAATAAAAAAATAAGAATAAGAATAGAATAGAATAGAATGGGACCTTAGAGGTTTTCTAGCCCAACCCCCTGCTCAAGCAGGAACACCTATACCATTTCATATAAGTGACTGTCTAGCCTCTTCTTAAAAACCTCTAGTGATGGAACGCCCACGATTTCTGAAGGCAAGCTGTTTTTTTATTTACAGCTTCACGTTTTCAAGAATTTCAGTGCTCTGAAGCAAGTTGTTTCTGTCTTCTCTAATAATGGAGATGCTTTGGAACTGCTTCATGACAGATATCAGGTTATGATTTTTAGGAAAACATTGAAAATCAAACTGTCGTGGAGATATTTTTTTTTTAAATTGTATATGATGCCATTCCCCCCTTTTTTTGGAAAAAAGGAAAAATGTGATTCTTTACTGTTACTTTTGTGTCAGGTTTTAATTAGAATAGATATTGTAACTTTCTATATTCTTTGTAAGCCTCTTTGCAGCAGAATAGAAATTAGATACATTAGTTTAATAGAGAGAGAGAGATTTAGAATGAATGATGATATCAAAGAAGAACAATTAATCAAAAGTATATGGAGTATTCAAGGAAAGGATGCTTGGAAAGACGAATGTATGGGTTTAATGTTATTTAAAATAATCTTCCTTGATTGTTTTGCAGCAAACCCAAGGAACCAATGTTCAGTGCAGGTAATTGTTTTCTTTATTGTTTCATAATATATATATAACTTTTGTTCTAATTAAGGATATGAATATTTGAAAAACTTTCTCTAGATAATTGGTTAACAGAATTATTATAATTTGGTTCCTAAATCATAGCCTAGGTTTCATTTTAGTGATTACCAAATTGCAATGAAGTTCACATTTTAGCAAAGTACTTTACCATATTAAGTTTATAAGCTTATACTTTTTTTTTTTTGCTATTTATACTGCTACCATTTTAAAAGAAGTCTATGGTTTGTTCAGTAATTTTAATATTTGTCCGTCATTCCTTCAGAATAAAATGGCTTGACCTGGCTACCATTTCCTTAATGGAAAGGTGCAGTTCCAAATATAATAAACCTGGATTAATGGAACACAATTGCTGTGTTCATGCAGTATGCCAGAACCAAACAAACTATATGTCTAATCCAATGGCTTTGTTCACTATGGATTTCCACTTCATAGTAGCGATACAGGAACTGATCAAGCAGAATATTCTATGGCTGACACTGCACAGTCTTGTTCAAATAGTCTACACACACTCTGTGGAGAGTGCAGATAGTAGTACCCTGTCAGTATAATCCATACAACCAATAGAGAAACAATACTGTTAGTCAGGAGGGCTATTTTAAGGAGGAGAGAGTACATTATTTTAGAAAAAGCAATTTTGTATAATTATGAAATTGCTGTATCTGGTTGTACACATTGCCAGTCAGTGGTCATTGTCATTCAGTTGTAAATACTACCAGTTCATTTTTTAAGTGATCAGTAATAATATGGACCAAGATTATGATTTTGCAGATAGCGCTTAAATTAAATGTGTAAAGTGTTCCTTGCATAATATAAATCTCATATAACAGCATCTGTGCCTCTTGAGTCTCCTTGTTAAATACCATTTTTTAATTTTTAAATCTAGTTCCATCCAAGATCGACACCAAAAGTAGAAATTAGCATAGTGGAGATATCAGGGTGGAAGAGTATTCTGAAGACAGAATTGGCACAGAGGAATCTGATTTTAAAACATGTTTTCTGTCATCTGCTCTTTTTTTTCCTATAAATATCTTCTCCCAATTTCTGATACCCTTGGCAATATGGGCTGAGAACATATATTTGACAAAACAATATTTCAGTTTGGCTTTCAAAGAAAAACTCACAGAAAGCTTTCAAGTTCATTTGAACTGGTCTAGGCTATTTAAAACATTAGATTTATTTTTAAGAATATCAAATTACTGTACAACTATTATTTTTACAAGGAAATCCAAATTTATTTTTACTTTTTACCATGTAGGTCTCTTTTATAATTGATTATACAAATCAATTATAAGACAGAATTCCAAAGCTTAATTTGTACTACCTGAATCAACACTACTGGATAGAACAGCAGTAAAACAAAATTTGGGACATTATTTTTTCCTGCTTTTTGAGATAGTATATTTGAATTGTGAAAGATAATGGAAACTGCAAAAACTTACAAATATACTTGGATTTTTCTATTTATATCAATACAAATGCAAAATAGGGACATATTACCTGTTTTGATAATAGAATAATACAGCTGGGTACTCCACAGAGCAGGGTTGTAGATGAGCCTGACTGTTCTTGAATACATCTTTATCTAGCACTTCTATCTCTGTCTCTGTAACCACAAGGGAAGCGTCGTGTGACACATTGTAAAGGTAGGTAGAACTTGCTTCTAAAATCTCACAGCTCTTTAAACAAGCCTATTAACAGGGCCAAGCAGTTTGAGCCTACAAAGGCAGTTTATTCCTTGTGTGACTATAATATTATTAAACAATTTCCCTTTTTTCTTAGCCAGCTTCTTGCAGAGCATCTACTGGCTTTTAAACCTTGTAGAATTGAATGTTAATGGATGTTTATATATGTTTCTTGATTAAATGAATGGCCAAGAAAGAGGCCCAATTGTTAAAGATAGCTATATAGCAGTGGTGGTGAACCTATGGCACGGGTGCCAGAGGCAGCACTCAGAGCCCTCTCTGTGGGCATGCGCGTCGTCACCCCAGTCCTAGGCCTTCAGCTGGGTTTTATAAAACCTTTTTGCTTTAGACCTCCACCGCCGTATGCAAAAAAAAAAAAAAAAAGGTTCAATCAGTCAATTTCAACTTCTCACGGAAAAAAAAAAGATCTTGCAAAGTTGGAATTGATTGATTGAACTTTTTAGTTCCACCCAGTCTGCCGTTACCACCACAGCCAAGCCCACACAATTGGCCACACTCAGCCAATGGGCCACAGCCACCTGGCACTCGACAATGCATAAGTGGGTTTTGGGTTGCAGTTTGGGCACTCAGTCTCTAAAAGATTCGCCATCACTGCTATACAGAATCCCATAATCGTCTGTGGTAATAGTTGCTTTTGCAGTGTGGCTGAAAAATGATAGTGCCTGTTCTAGTATGCTCAAATAGCATCCTAACATGCCTAAATCAACCTTTTGCTTTAGATTTAATTGCACAGTGTTTATTCACTATCTAAATTGCCTTATGTGAGTAATAGATTTAACTTATGATACCAATAAGCAGGTTGAAGTAGATAATACATATTTCTGTGTTTTATATATTATGTAACTATTTAAAAGGTGTTTATGTAGTATTGGGAATGCCTGGTAATAATTAACATATAACTATATAGTAATGTATACATATTACACATTTCCATTGTGAAGACTAAGCAAATTTGTACTGCAGTTAAATAAATAATTTATTCCTAATATCTCATTTATAAATATCTTCTTAACTTTGTAAAATTATATCTTAATTATTAAATTTTTATGGTAGTCCATATTCTAAATATGCCATGCATTTCTTTAATTTTTCAGTCTTTTATGGGTAACTTGAGGTGCTATTTTAAGACTACCACAAGCATTTAGTATTATCTCTTCAACGTTCTTTACAACTATTGTACATATTTAACCAAGCTTCATTCAGCAGTTGTCTCTTTAACTTTGTATTCAGTGGCTTAATTTCTGTAAATCTATATGTCTTATTATAGTCATAAAATCCTTACCATATGTTATTCTTTATATTGATATGGGACATGCCACTTTTCAGATCAGTCTGCCTATTGTCAGAAGATGGTCTGAAAAGCAAGTGTAGCAAATTCTTAATCCATCCCTAGAACATGATCAGTAGCATAGTTGGTTTAAGTTAATAATAGGTTTTGTAGAATTGTTTTTACATAAATCAACCTGATCTTGAATGAGATACCAGAACAATGCCTTTGGCAATACAGTATAATTTCATATGTTGTGATTGCTTCATGTATTAATTCCTGTATAGTTTTTACTATTTTTTCATGATATATGCATGAAAATGCATTTTTTTATATTTTTTCAGTACTTAGATGTTATTAGAAAAAAAATAAATTAAGCAGACATAAAGCATAAAAGTAACACAATGGGAAAAATTAAAGTTCAATCTTATATGAAATGGTTTCTGCAAACATATATCCTTGACAATGGGGAAAAATTGTATATTTACTCTGTACCTTTATTTTTCTTTTCATGTTTCAATTCTAACCATTTTGCTTATTACCTTTAATTAAAATTTAAAATTTAACTGTAATTTTTATATATCAGATTCTCTATTAATCAGGTTTTTAAGATAAAACCCTGAGCAGTAGTTATGATTTGAATTGAAATAGAGTAGCACTGAATTTTGTTTAAAGACAACAAAAAGTAGCAGAGAAAAGTTTTATTCAGGATGGGGCAGGTTTCAGAAATCACAACCTGCTTTCTATCTTCTGGGTTTAAGAAATTGACAGTCATAAATTAATACAAATTTCAATATACGTTTTAGTGTTAAGTGCAGAAATACAGTATGATTTGTTCTTGATATAGGTCTAGAAATGTATCCTATAGTCCTTCCCAAAACAGGAGGTTTTATTATAGCAAGGCTTATAATATCCATTTGTACTCATTTTCAAAACAAACAAAAACGTACTGTCAAGACACATTTATCTTTCTTTTATGAAAACAGCTGCACCTAGCCAGCCTTGGCTGATGTGTAAAGTTGGACAAATTTTGTCCTATGTGTTACTTGGATGGGATCAGGGCTGTAGACTAGATATTTAGCTACGTCCATAGATTTCCAGGAGCCAGGCTCACTCATTATCTTATTTCAACTTTTCTTTGCTTTACAAACCTACAAAGACTGTAAATGTGACAATTGATCACAAAGTTACTTTTTCATCACCATTGTAATTGCAAATAGTTGTTAAACAAGGCAATTGCTTAAACAAGGGCTACCTATTTTTTCAATATCCAGTTATGTTCTCGCATGCATGGTACATCAGCATAGTTCTTTTACTGTCGTATCTTCACTAAGATTCCAATACATGTATCATTAATCATTGCAAATCAAATACTAAGTTCATGTTTAAATTAGGAAGTCATTAAAATTAACATTATAGATACTGATATGCAGATATGTGAAAATTAAATTCAAAGTAAAATTTACTTTAATGACTTTTTGTGTTAATTATAGTAATTACGGTAGGTTAATTCCTCAGACAGCAATAGAAAAAAAGTCACTCCCTTTCTGAATGTCATATTGTCCCCCCATTATATATTTATTTATTATGGAGTTTCAGCGTATTAAAAAGATTTAAAAATTGTGTGCATAAATAATTAAGGCTTTGGGCTGTTGCTTTTAAAAATATCTGTTTCTACCACATAACTTTAAAATGCACATGAAATGTTAAAATGGCAAAATATTGTATATGAATTTTGTTTGTTATGTATTTATTTTTTTTCAATAGAGGAAGGATATGTTAAAATGTTTCTGCGTGGACGTCCTGTTACCATGTACATGCCAAAAGATCAAGTGGAATCTTACAATTTGGAAGCAAAGGCAGAACTACCATCCAAAAAGCTTAAACTGGAATGGGTGTATCCTTATTTATGGACACACTTCAATTAAATAATGCTTATTTCTGAAACTCTATTTTTAAAGTACATCTTTAAATGTTATGAAGCATAGTAGGCATCTAAATGCAAGGAACTAATATTTTCACAGAAAGAACACAATAAATATTGATGTTATAAAGCTTTTCATCTATATATTATTAATAATCTCTCAAGTTTTCAGTTTAATGCATCCTGAAGGTATATGTTTAAATCTATCAGGTTAGTAAATTAGACGCACAAACAAAAAGGGTGCTGTAATTACTAATTATAATATAAGGAAGTGTGTTTCTAGTTGCATATCAAAGTGAATTTATAACATTTCCATACTATTTTTTTTAATTAAAAACTCAATTATTAGAAAAACTATCCAGATTTTCAGCATAAGCACAAAAATGATATACCAATCAAAAACGTTAGTTATGCTGGATTCCTTCTTTTAATTATTCCTAATTGTTAATATTTCAAGTTACAAGCATAAGTCAGGTTTTTTTTGTACAAGTTACATATAGATTTCAATTTTAATTAAAATACTGGTATAAATCATTCTTGAATTCATCTAGCTTGGCTTTTAGTCTAATTTTAATTATCTGTTTTAATATTTAATATTGAAAAATCTAGCTAATATGATTTTCATTCTTTATTTTATTTTTTAATCTGTTCTTTTATTTTACTTTTACATATGGTCTTATTAATGTTATATTCTTTATTTTGACATGGCCTCTTGGCTAATCAACAATAATATTACTGTAGAGTTACTAGTAGCTATTTGTTATTGTGTTTTATGTTATATTAGAAGTCTTGGCTTAGTATCAAGTATGCTGATTAAAAGAGCTGCAAGTTTCCCTTTGGGAAGACCCTCTTCCTATTAGCTGGGGGATATTTGATTTTAAGTGGGAGACGGAGAATGTTCTACAGTATGTGAAATTCTTCCCTTCTACAAACTGGCACATGAACAAATTTGTTTGCAAGATTGTTTCAAATCTTCTAGCTCACAAATGCATTCATAATCTTTCTAATATAAAGTTGGTGATCTTTGAATCAGCACATATGATATACAAAATACAAATACTACAAAAGTATCTACCTTTTTAAAGAGAAATATATTCTCTTACAACTTGGAATTAGAACTTTAATCACTGATATAATCATTAACATGTGCTACTATCAGAGTTGTTCCTCTGATAGAAATTGGTAAAGTTTCAAGGAACCAGGGAGTCTTACTGTATGAACTTTATGGTCCCAGAATTCCACATGATTGTCACTTGTAATGTTCAATTGTTATATCTTAACTAAGATGCCAGCTATGGTTATAGAGGTCGGGATTGTCGCAATAATCTGTACCTTTTACCAACCGGAGAAACTGTTTACTTCATTGCATCTGTTGTTGTATTGTATAATGTTGAAGAACAACTGCAGAGACATTATATTGGACACAATGATGATGTGAAGTGGTAAGCCATGGAAAAGGAAACTCTGAAAAGAAATCAGAGTAAAACATTCAAAGATCTATATTTTAGCTTATGTCTGATAAAGAAAGCATAATGGCAGGCTTAGCACCAAATTTCTGGGACTGTGAATGAAGTTGTCTTAGAAATGGTGGTGGCCCTGGATTCACTGGTAGTGGCTAGAATATAATATAAAGTCTCACTTGGTTCAATATTTCATTTTTCTTAAAACAAAACATGTCAAAAACTACAAAGGACATACAGCTTAGAGACTAAAGCTAAGAACTGGTTTGTCTATAGTAATCCCAGGTTCAGGCTGAGGGTAAAGTAGTAGGAAATAATATTTAAATGGGACAAGTTTACCACATATAATATAAACTATGAATGGAATGAACTGATGGATGGATACAAATTATTCAAAAGAAACAGGTCTATAAAAAGAGGAGGGGGAGTTGCACTATATGTAAGAGAATACTATATACAGTAGTGGCCAAAATTGTGGAAACCTTTTGGGAAAAGTGTATTTTTGAGGTTTGATGGCTAATAACACCACTTTTTTGGGGGTAGTACCATAAAATTATATATCAATGGAAAGATAATTTAATTAAGAATGTAATGCAACAAAGGTTGTTAAATTATCTGTACTGTATTCTATGAAAAGTTACAGCCAAATAACCAGAAAAAGGAAGCACAATTTGCTTAAGTTGATATCAGGTAGCTTTCCTTCATCTGATTGCAGCCAATGAGCATGAGTGTTTAGAGAGCCAATTGGCAATTAGCCAATCAGATCAGAGTAAGATTTAGTTATTAATGTCATGTATTTAAGCCGAGAGGAGGACATTTGTCAGTGTGTTATGTGATCGCTATCAAGTTGGTTGGTTTTTTTTCTCTTTCATTTAGTGAGCTTGTAAAATATAATAAAATTAAAGTAATGATGCAAAGAGTTGACTGGTTGCCCAGAAAGCGATGTAAAATAGTATTATTAAGTGAACAAGGCTACAGTTATAAGGAAATTAGAAGAAAAATTGGTGGAAACTTAACCAAAGGTGGCATTTCTATTGTACATTTTTCCCAAAAGGTTTCCACAATTTTGGCCACTACTGTATCTACAGAAATGCACATAATGAAAGATAAAATCTCTCCAGAATGTATATGGGTCAATATAAAAGAGAAAAAAAGTGACATTGCCATAAGTGTATATTACAGGCCACCCAACCAATTAGAAGAAATAGATGAACTCTTTGCCAACCAGTTAACAAACATATGTAGGAAGCATACCACAGTAGTAATGGGAGACTTCAATTATCCATATATCTATTGGGAGACAAACTCTGCAGTGAGCGGGAGATCAATCAGATTCCTAACCAACCTAGCCAACAACTTTGTCACCCAAAAGGTGGAGGAGGGTACTAGACATAAAGCTATATTGGACTTCATCCTTACAAATAGAGAAGAAGTGATAGAGGGTATTGAAATTGCCAGAACCTTGGGCAAAAGTGACCGCGTCATACTCTAGCTCTATTCTATAATCCTCATCAATTATACATCACCAAATATGCATAATTAGAAAAGGAACAAAGAAATTGGTGCAACTGCATTTTTAGTCATCTACATACTTTTAGCGCTAGGAGACGCTGTAGATAGGTAAATCCAATCTGAAAATTTTATAATGAAAAATAAATGATCAGATCTGGATAGAAATTGAAATAAAATAAAATAGCATTGCAGGGTACTATAGTATGCAATAGCGTTTAATATTAGATAAAATACATGATAAAATAAGAATATTTTCTTGTGCACCTCAATAAATTTTTAAGAAATATCAAGTAAAATGTGTTTTGTTGTTTTCATTCATGTTATAAAAATGCTTTTAAATTTTTATTTAATAAAGGTATGTTTCCTTTCTCTTCCCATCTTTTTTTTGGGGGGGGGGCAGCCTAGCAGTACATCCTGACAGGATTACCATAGCAACTGGTCAGGTTGCAGGGACATCTAAGGATGGAAAAGTAAGCAGTTATTAGAATTTTACTTCATTGAAATGAAATTGTTCTTACCCTATGCTACAATTTATTTAATATTAATATTTAATATTTAATAATATTAATAATTAATATTATTTAATATTTAATATTAATATTGTTGAAATAAAATCCTAATATTTGTGTTAGTGAATAAGATACTAATTGGTTAATGAAATATATGAAAGAAGTTGACATTGCTCCTAGGCTTCATATTTCAGGTATATTTTTAATCAGTGTATCAGTGTTGCCTTTACTTAAATATTCATGCCTTGTTATAACATTGATTTGGCCACTTCATAAAGCTTCATAAAATTTCTAAATATAAGAATCATAGTTGTAAATTATTTTGAATTCAGTATCCAGTCTATTCATTTATATGATATGATGTTTGGTATGAGAGTAATTTATATCAAAATGAAGCTTTCAGATACCATTAAAGGAGAATATTTGTAATTCAGGATTGAAATGAGGGGTCCTTGGTGCTTTCTGAACTTGTTTTTTTTCTTGCAGATGTTTCATTACCCAAACTATTATATTCTATTGGCTTGCCCTGACAATATTGGTGGGAATAGTCTTAGAGGTTCTTTGGTTGGGCCATTTACTGTTTCTGGAATGTTCTTGATGTATGGCAATGTTATTCTTTTTAGGACTTGGTTGGGCTGAACTGGGTTGAGTGGTCAGACACTTTTTGATAAAGTTGCATGGATATCCATTTTGTTAGAATATGTTGTATAGGTGGTCTGTTTCCTTTTTCTGCTGTTCAGGGTTACTGCAATGACTTTGTGCTCGTCTAAATAAAGTTCTTATGCAGCTTCTCTTGTGGGAGGTTGGGTTGTTGCTTTGGTGTGGAGCACTTGGATGGTGTGAATGGTTTTTCTGTAGACTTGCATTTCTAGTTTGCCAGTGTGGTCTCTGCTGATCAAGATGTCCAGGAAGGGTAGCGAGTTGTTGTTTTCTTCTTCTCTGCTAAACTGGAGTCCTTTGAAAATATTGTTGATGGTTCTGTGGGTGTTCTCTAATTGGTCCTCTTTTATTATGGTGAAGGTGTCGTCTATATCAGTGGTCCCCAACCCCGGGCTGCGGCCTGCTATGAGGCCATGGCCCACTACCAGACCATGGCCTATTTGGAATTGGACCGCGTGAGTGTCTGGCTGGAGTGCGCATGTGCCTTTGCGCAGTTCAACTTGTGCAGGTGGGCACGTGCACGCATGCGCGCCAGCCTGCACTCACACAAGGGATGCCATTATATTATATTCTGTTTATTGATTTCCATAGTTATCTTGATGGTCATTTTAATTATATAACATGGGATTAATTCTTAAATTTGACACAATGTATATTCTTTTCATTTTTCATTTATTTAAACATATTGTAAACTTTGGCTGGATTAAAATAGTTTCCTTGAAAATGTTTAAAAAGATACATTAATAACTTTAATTTGGTCTTTTAATATAATTTTTCTGCCATTAATTTAAAAACTTAAATTAAAAATCTCTGCTAGGTCTCATTTTTAATATACATAAACTAACATAATGTATAATGTCTCTTAGCCCAACTAACTTCTCAGACTTCTGTTGTGGGATAAAACAAGAGGAATGTGTATAAAACTTGAACTCCTAAATGAAAGGCAGTCTAATAAATAAACTAAGTGTAATCTTGTGAATTAGTCCACTGCACTAACTTCAGTCATCAGCATATAAATATTTTCTGTCTCCTGTGCAAGTTGTAGTTCAAGCTTAAATTTACAAAGGTTGCTCTCTAGTGGTCCTGTAAATGCATTGCATGTATATATTATATGAAAATATGTCAATTTAGAAATATACAAGGGTACTCCAAATGCAGATTGTATCTGCAGTTAATTATCATTTGTAAGCACATTTGTTTATGGCTAAGTTTTAATCTATAAGGCTTTTCAATTTTAAAAAATATATCATTTTGAAGATTTCATACAATTTATACGTAAGAATGGCAAGCCACTTCTGAAGCTTTGCCATAAAAATTGCATGGACTTGTCCAGACAGTTATCAAAAATCAACACTGACTTGAAGGTTCCCCACACAAAAATATTATACGTAATTAGTTTTACTGTAACAAGAGAATATTGTGTTTCCCTGAAAGTAAGACCTACCCCAAAATAAGCCCTAGCTTGATTTTTGGGGGTGGGCCTAATATAAGCCCTACCCCCAAAATAAGCCTTAGTTTTGGGGTGAGGCACACGCCTAAAATTCAAGCTGGGGTGGGTGGTGGTGGAGCTGCCCCATGTACCCAGCACCCACTTACCAAGCCTCCCATGAATTGACACCTGCCTCTCCTTGCCAGCCCACTTCTTCTGCGGCATCCCCCTGCTCTACACAAAAACAGGGAAAATAAAGTTGTAAACATTGCCTCCATTTTTTGACTACATGTATCTGTTTTACTGTTTTGCAAAAAATGGAGTTGTTATTACGAAAAAAGTGCAAAACATCAAGATATCATTGTTCCAGCATATAAATTTCTATTAAAAGTATGGTGGTATGGATGATGGTATGGCCCCATAGCTTTTAGCCAGGTGCTTTCATTGCAAGGTAAATCACAGCATAGATTTATTTGAACTTCCTGTTCAGGAGAGACGGGGTGGCTCAGTGGCTTAATGACACTGGAGATGGCCTCAACTCCAATGTTTCAAGCTCCAGCACTGATTGTCAGGGTGAGCTCTTGTCACTTGTTTCAGGTTCTGTCTACCTAACAGTTTGAAAGCATATTTTGTGCAAGTGGACAGATAGGTACCACTTTGGTTGGGAGACAAGCTGGTGCTCTGTGCAGGCAGGCAGTTTCCTGATGGCTTTGAACCTTCCTGGTTGTGGTTCCCATTTACAAGACAGCTTGGGGAAAGGAGGGGGCCTTTGGTGACGCTGCAGGGATACCTGCTCATCTTTCTCTTTGGTGCGAAGCCAGCTCACTCTCATGTAGTGTACCTTGGGAAGCCCATCAGCATTTCCTATAACAGGGTTAGTAACTTGGCAAGCCAAACTAATACTCAGCACTAGCGCTGTGGTCTCCTGGTTACTGTAACAGTATATTAACAACAACCACAACAACTGGTCAGGAGATCGGTTAAGACAAGAGTTCAAAACATATTGTTTATATAAGCAGATAGAATTAACCCAGGAATTTTTTAAAACATGGATTTTGACATTGACTGAAATATTGACTGTGTTGGTGAATAAGGTTGTCTGTGAAATTTACTGGGACCTTGATGTACAGAGAATAGAAAGAAGAATGAAAGAAGAATTTCTACCAAAGGAGAAATGGACTGCTTCCAACTTGGGCAGAGCAAATCATACAGTGGACATTTTGCCATGTGGCATAGCTTATATGCCAACAAGATCAGTGCTGTTCTACATGGGCGGGTGTCCTAAAATTTTTAGCAGCAATATGCCCATAGTTAATTATTGTATCTTCAAATATGCCCATAGTTAATTATTGTATCTTCAAACTGTTGTTCAAAATAGCTGTTGTTTGCCTTGAGCTGAGTTGATGGCTTCAAACAGAATAATGTCTTTTGTTAAAATATTCAAGTAACAAATTGCTGTTATAATTTGATCATAGATAATAGAACCTCTTATTTCTTACTTGTGTTTCTGCAAACTGAAAATGTTCAAGATGTTGAGAATTATTTATGTTCTGAACTCTGCCCTTAAAGCATCTTCTATTTTTGTTCGCTCACTTTCACAGCAATTACTGCCTCATGTCCGCATTTGGGATTCTGTTACTTTGAATACACTACATGTAATTGGCATGGGATTCTTTGATCGAGCTGTTACATGCATTGCATTTTCAAAGTCGGTGAGTAATATCTAATGTATATTTAATATGCTTTGTAAGTATCTCAGGGCCAATTGTAATTTTTTTAAAATTAAGACTGCAGGATGTCTATGGAAATTTTCAGTCATCCAGGTCATAGTTGTTTCAAAGGTGATTTTTCAGAAAGGCAACTGGACTATTTTTTCTTTAAGACTGCTGGAAATTTTTTCTTTGTAACCAAATGCATTTTTGGGAACTTGACTTCAGAGTTGGTTGTATGGGTTTTACATATGGATGGTATATAATATGATTTGTTTCAAGAGATTCTCTCTGAAAAATATGAATTAGTTTTGTTTGAGTGCACTCTTTACTTAATAAAGTATAAGAACACAGTTTTCAAATATATTTATAGGTATAAATGTTGTTACATAATATTTCTAAATAGCTGTCTTTATATTTTTCACATTTCTTTGCTTTTATACTAAGTAAGGGATAATCTCCTTTTTGAATAAGAGAAACATTTAGATTTAGAACCCTGCTCAACTGGAAGACAATCTGTAGAATTAGCTGAATGCAGAAGAGAAGGAGATTATTTTATTTATTTTAGAATTCATACAGTTTACGTTTCACATTAAAAACAGCTGCAGTTTCTTCACTGATAACTGACTGCAAATACATCGTTGTTTAAGCTATATGGTCTCAACATTCTCAAGATGGGTTGGTTCTTACACCATTTTTTCAGACAAACTATTTGTAATATCTTAAGTACAAAACTAGCCAGAAGATGAGTGCTATTAATCACTTGGTTTTGAAATAGCAAGCAACTGAAGGATGATGGAGTACTTCATGCTTTATTTCAGAATGGAGGCAGTAACTTGTGCTCTGTGGATGACTCCAATGACCATGTGCTTTCAGTATGGGACTGGCAAAGGGAAGAAAAAATTGCAGAGGTCAAGGTATTTTTTGCATTTGTGTGTTGCTTGAAATGAGCAGGAATTTTTTTTTGTGGTCAAAAAATATCTATAATATTTCATCTTCATCCCAGCATCTTGTTGATGTTGATGTGACCACTAGTCTTGCTGTTAAATCTTTTTCCTGTTGAAATGTATCCTTTATTATACCTGAATGCTATGGGAGAAAATATCCTGCCTCTTCTGTACACCTGTAATAAGGTTTTCTTATTAGTAGACAAAATCATAAGAAACTTGTATGGATAAAGTGGAAATTAAGAAAACTGCATTATTCATAGCTCTCATTTCTAAATTGTGCCAAGACCTTCTGGCACTATATAAGGTGCAGATTTATCTTTTTTGGTGTAAAATCCACACTTGCAACAATCCAGTAACTTGAGATTCATGTATGAGAAATCATTATAAATCTTTAAACAATCTTTACTCATGTACATGCATGAGTAAAAGTTATGTTCTTTTAAGAGAAGAGACATTTTCCAAACCTTTACATGCAGTATTTTGAGTTTATCTATTTGTTTTAATTTAAATAAGAAAGTCACAGTGCACTAATATATTATCAAACAAGGAGTTCTTAGAACTTAATATTAAAATTATTACTTTTGTTTGCAAATATAAAATATTTTTTCTTCTTCTTAGTGCTCTAATGAAGCAGTATTTGCAGCTGATTTTCACCCTACAGACACTAATATAATAGTTACATGTGGAAAATCTCATCTTTATTTTTGGACGATTGAAGGGAATTCTCTTATCAAAAAGCAGGGATTATTTGAGGTACAAATGTTTGTGTTCTTGTTTATTTTTTTCTTTGCAGCCAGAGGATCATTAAGGGAATGTTAATATTCTGTTTCCCAGTTTTGCTCTGCTGTCATGCTGTTTCTTTAGAAACCAGAATACAGTGCTTTAATGATACATGACATCATAAACAGCAGAATTAATTTCTTTATTTCTTTTGTACCGTGAACTATTCCCTAGCAACCTTCATCTTACTGTATGATTTCATTTTTTCTTTTAAATCCAAACAAAATGATTTTCCTCATTAGAAACCATGAAATCAGTAATTTAATTATTTTGAACTATTAAGTATTAACTATCAACTTAACCATAATTAAGTGAAGTGTGTTTCATTACAGTGAAATTAAAACTAGAGTTACCTATGTAGCTAAAAATAATTTAAAAGAGTGAATCAAAAATTTACTGTATTATTAAAATCATGGCTATTTGGTGATTGCACTATTAAGATATTGTTTTGCTACTATTGATCACTTTCTTATTTTAGTAATCTTTCTGTGCTTAATAGAATCCCATTATGCACATTGCCGTGCTATTTTTTTATTATTTCTTTTCTCTTTTGCTTGATAAATATTAAAGTTGAGGTTTCCCCCCCCTCTCTATTTCCTTGCCATTTTCCTGAATCAATATTTGGCATCATCTACTAAATAAATGATTTTGTTTTATCATACTTGTTCTTACACTTTTTTGTCAAATTTATATCACCACCTATCTTTCAAGCATCTTAGCTGATAGACAGTAGCTCCTGATACTACTTTTAGAAGCAACAAGTCAAGACCAAGGGAGAGAAAGCATATATACAATATAGGCTATTCACATAATTGATTAAATACATATACAGTTGTTCTACAACATTAAGATTGTAATATAACTTTCTCACTTTTAAACTCTGAACACAAGGCATTGTTCTTATGTTTTTTCTCTATTAGAGAGAAAAGCAGTGTTTTTTTAATAGTTAATATGTTGATAACTGAACAAAATATATGAAATATATAATAAAGGTACAGTAACTCAGTAATGTTCTATTTTATTCTGTAGAAACAAGAAAAGCCAAAGTTTGTCCTATGTGTGACATTTTCTGAAAATGGTGATACAATCACAGGAGATTCAAGTGGAAATATCTTAGTATGGGGAAAGGGTAAGAAAAGAATGAACTTGCATAATAGTAAATGACTATTTACTGTATACAGAAGAAAAAAAATCTCTTTAGACAGACAGACAGACACACACACACACACACACAAATAGAAAGTAAGATTTTTGAGACATATTTTAATACAATTCTTATGCAAAAATGATATTTTCAAAATACTAGATTTCAACAGAGTACTTTCAGCTGTTTTCATAGTGCATCCACAACTTCTAGCCCTGGGTTGCTGGCCCAATCACATTGTTCTTGATGTGTAAAAGGACACAACTCTTGAAATCTCTTTCTCTCCAATCTCTTTGCTTTGAAGATGGGTGGTGGTGGTCAGAATTGTCCAATTTCTATAGGCAATCTTTCCTTAGCTTGACACTCTCCCCCACCCCCAAGAGCAAAAAAATTGAAGAGAAAGAGATTTCCAGAGAGGAAACTGTTTGCTCTTCTACACATCAAAAGCAGTTGCAATTGCACCAGTAGTAGGACGGGTCAGGAATTTGCCTATACAAATTGCTTGCTTCTTCCCCACTTGCAAAACAGAGAAATGGAAAGAAAAGATTTCAAGAGAATACTGTAAGCTGTTTCTATAATATGTCTGTGGCCAGCACGATTGGATTGTTTTCAAGATGTGCTAGAGCAAACAGCTTACTTTTCTACAATCCATTTCTCTCCAATCTCTTATCTCCACAATGGGGGAAGAAAGAAAAAAACCACAGGTCAGGAAAAAGGCAAACACATATTGTCTGCAATGGGGATCACATGGATGAGGGATGCTGTGAGATTGTAAATGGGCTGTAAATTTATTCAAATGGTCCATCCAATGATATTGAGCTGGTGCAGTAGTTAGAATAACCACAACTAGGAGTTCGATCCTGACCAGCTCAAGGTTGACTCGGCCTTCCATTCTTCCGAGGTCGGTAATATGAGGACCCAGATTGTTGAGGGCAATATGCTGACATTTGTAAGCCACTCAGAGAATGCTGTAAAGCATTATGGAGTGGTATATAAGTCTTAAGTGCTATTGCTATTGCTATTGCACAGGATAGGCCCTCAGGGTCCACTCCTTTAGGGACTCTTAAGTGCAAGGCACAAACAGTTGAGTCTTCTTTATTGCTGTCCATTTCTTTGGAATAACCTATTATCTGAAATTAGACTTCCCCAACTCTGTTTTGTTTTATGTAATCATAAAAATCTGCTTTTTAAAGAAAGTCTTAAGAGGAGATCTAGGATAAGTTAGAAATCCAACTTTGTTTTATAGTTTACTTATTGTTTTTTTCTTTTCAAAACTTTAACATTTCTTTAGAGTTCCTGACCAGAAAGAAATTATAGTGGCAACCACACTGTATTTCCTTTAGCAAGGGAAAAACTAAATAAATAATCCAATAAAACATTATTTTTAGGGAGCTTCTGTCCTCTTCTTTCCAGGTACCAACAGAATAAGCACTGCAATTCAAGGAGCTCATGAAGGGGGCATATTTGCCCTTTGTATGTTACGAGATGGCACCCTTGTGTCTGGAGGTGGAAAAGACAGGAAGTTAATATCTTGGAATGGGAATTATCAAAAAATTCATAAAACTGAGGTAATGACTTCAGGCTTTAAAACTTAACATTTTTGTTTTAAAGAACGTTCATTGTTTTACCACTTGATGCCTGAAAAGGCACTTTCCCTTATTTCTTCTAAAAATATTAGTGTGATTTTTATTATGACTATATGTATTCTAAGTAGATATATATTGATAACTTTGGATAAATCACATAATTCACCTGTTTTGAAGAGGCCATATCTTTTGATATTATCCTACAAATTTGCCCTACTTTTTCCTGTCCTTTGAAAAAGATGTGAATAAGCTGTATTTTTAGCGGCACTTTTGTACTTGTATCCAAAGAAGTGCCTATTTTGCCGTTGCATCCTAGAATTATTGAATTGAGAGACTATAGAATGCATAACTTTCTAACCAATTATTTTCTTCATTTGTGAGGGAATGCTCATTACAGTTCCATAGACCCATGGACCACTTACCAACTCTCTGTATAGATCTTTGAAGTGGGTGAATAAAATGCAGTCTGGAGAAATAGATGGTTTGTTTTGTAAAACATAAAAAATATGCATTTATTACATTTACTTATGGGTCAGTTTTGTCATAACTACTTTGAATTGTAACTGAGAGTGGCTAAAATCTAACCATTTCCTCTGTGTTCCTGGAATCCTTAAAAATACTTTATTTCAAACAAAAAAAATGCTCTTCTCAACTTCATTTTTTTCTGCTTCTAATTAACAAAAGTTACTTCTCTCTTGCTTCCCAAAAGAAATGACTGATTCAGCTAAATAAATATCTTACCCACCCCACTCATATCTTTATATAAACACGATAGGACTGTATACTTGAAAAATAATTATATACGCACTTAATTTAATTATTTCAATTTTTTTCTAAAACAGATTCAGGAGCAGTTTGGCCCTATAAGAACAATAGCAGAAGGGAAAGGTGACATTATTTTGATAGGAACCACTCGAAACTTTGTGCTGCAAGGTTCTTTGTCAGGAGACTTTTCTCCCATTACCCAGGTAGTTATTCTTTTTTTAGTACACTATTTCCCTAAGACCCATGTTTTTGAAAACATGTAACATTAAATTTATTACTTTTTAGAAAAATGCTGCATGATAAACCTGAACAAACTATTCTTGCAGATGAATTGAGAATTTGCTAAATAAATAATAATTTTATAGAAAGTCCATCTAACCCCAATTTACAGTTTTCCAGGCAGGGAACAGACTAGATTTTTAAAGCTGTTGTTCTCTAGTATTACCAATAAGAGCACCAGATGTGGAATTATCTACACTTCATTTAAAGACAATAATCCTGGATTATTAAACACAGTATGCCTAAGCCTTCCTTTATACAAATCAGTAAATTAATTATGCATAAATAAATTAGCATGATATTTGAACCTTGAAATTATGGATTACTGCATTCAGACAAGCCAGGATTATTTCTTTGTACACAAACAAATAAACTAATTATACATGGCTAAATTAGCATTATATTTAAATGTTGAGTTCAGATATAACCTTTGGCCAAGATATAATCTAAGAAGTTTGTGCCTGGATTGTATACTAGCTTGTGTATGTGTGTAAAACCAAGTGAAACATAATATGCACTATCAGAGATCTTATTCATGTTGTGTATTGATATTATTTCTGGCTTATGACGCTATGCAAACTATTGTTCATTTACCAAAGAAATGTTTCTGTGTTAATTCAGGGCCATACTGATGAGCTTTGGGGACTAGCAGCCCATCCCACCAAACCTCAGTTTTTTACATGCGGGCAAGACAAACACATTATGCTCTGGGATTCGATCAGTCATCGTCCAATCTGGAACAAAACTATAGAGGTATTTTTTTTTAAAAAAAGTTAAAATATAATTTTGCTTTTATAACAAATTATTAAGTGAGGAATTGGGAAATTTTTAGAACTAAGAACTGTATCCACTCTGAACAAGCATATCAAGGGAGAATCACTACTTGACGTAGGCAAGAACAAAATAATTGCTATTATGTATTTCGCTGTGTCTTCTCTTGGATATACGCACGACATTCATCCCAATATTGATTCATCTCCATATACATTCACATATCCACAGACTCTTAAATTCACCTCCAGAATCACTTTCTCATATACATAATGTATATCCTGCACATTCCCATTCACACACCTGATTCACTTACATAATATCAAAGCTTCCAATTCATACCAATTTTTCCATGTTGCTTATGAGAAATTGAGCCATTTTTCATCGTGTAATATTGAAGGATTTCCAGGTATCCACTGTCTGAATGAGAGAAGAATCCCCCTCCCCCATTCCCCTCTACTGGAGACTTTAGCAAGGAGAATGATAAACCTTGCATGGTGGTACACTCTCAGAGAGACTATTTACAGTTAGAAAGATTTGACAGACATGGTTCATTCAGTTTTTCCATATAATAATGACTTCTAATCAATTTGGATAGTCTTGTTAGATGTCCTTGTAGAGCATAAGGCCAACACTGCATGGACAGCTATCATATAACATGCTGAGGACTTCATGACATAACAAGTTTTTATTTCAAGAATGGTATGCTTCAACTTAAAAGACTCTTAACATTTGAAATATCATCCATAGCAATACTATACAGGCATTCATCCAAGCTTCATATGCTTCCTGAGTGTTGTTCACTTTTGAAGCTCCTATTCAGTCAGCTAACTGTAAAAATCAGTTTAACAAATCTCAGTTTATTTTACTTTGAGTGCTGAAAAAAATGTTGAGTATTCATAGTTTAGTGCTTGACTAATAATTAGGTAACTATAATCTTTGGTAGATTTATTTATTTATTTGTATACTGCCTTTATTATTTTTACAAGTAACTGGTAAACACATCCATTACACTTCCTCCACCTATTTTCCCAACAACAACAACCCTGTGAGGTGGGTTGGGCTGAGAGAGAGAGAGAGAGAGAGAGAGAGGGAGAGAGAGAGTGTGAGAGAGAGTATGACTGGCCCAAAGTCTCCCAGCTGACTTTCATAGCTAAGACTCAATCTCAATCTCTTGCTTTCTAATCTGGTGCCTATAGTGAATTTAATAATAATAATAGTAGTAGTAGTAGTAGTAGTAGTAGTAGTAGTAGTAGTAGTAGTAAAGTTGGAAGGGACAGAGGTTATCTAGTCCAACCCCCTGCTCAGGCAGGAAGCCCTACACCATTTCGGACAAATGGCTGTCCAGTCTCTTCTTAAAAACTTCCAGTGTTGGAGCATTTACTGCTTCTGGAGGCAGGCTGTTCCACTGATTAATTGTTCCATTTATATACATAAAAAACGAAACAAAACATAGTATGTCTACGTTCACTATTCTAGTCAGGCAACGAACTAATGCCACCATGGTGATTAGTAGTCTATCTGTATTATTTATACATGCTCAGTTTTTGAGTTTTTTTTCTATTTAGCTTATTTGCATAAAACAAAAAGTATTTTGGATGTGATATTTGTTTATTATAAAAATTTATAAGGCTGCCCAATTTACTCTCAGGGAGTTCAGGTGATTTACAAAGGTAAAAACTCAATATAAAAACAATAAAAAGCAATACCTGCCCCCCATCCTCCAGTAAGATGAGATACAACCAAAAGTCAATATAGAGCAAAACTACATGAATTTGAACTTTTAGTTATAAATTATAGTCTAACTGGGGTCCCCAGGTAAAATTTTCCTATTTTATTTTATTTTTATTGTATTTTATTTATTTGATGTAATGCAATCTATGGTTATTTTTTCATTCTTTTTGGTATAGTTTCATTGTGTGATTTTATTTGGCAAACTTCTCTTTATAGCAATGGACAGGAATCCGGGCAAAATAAATTTAAATGGATTATTTTTTCCAAGAAGATCCAATCAATCTCTTATTCTCCACTGAATGATTTTCATGTTACATTAGCTATAGGGTAAAGGACAAGTGATTCTGGCTTAGATGTCATTTTGTGTAGATAAGAGCTTGCTCTGAGCAGGTCATGTTTCTTACATGGTCTATCTCATGAGGGTGACAGGAGATCACCAGGGCATGAGCCTCTTGATTCAGGAATGGGCACAACTGGCGTACATTATGATGCTGTGCAAAGGCCCTCCTAACTCTTACTGCTACCTACTCTTTGAACAGGAGTTAAGTCCAGGAGGACACCCAGATTTCACAGATTTCCCTCTTCCAGCTCCTTTAACAGCCTCCAGGCACCAGGGTAGGAACAGTGTTCTGTATGGCTCCAATTTTCTCTCCCAAGTGGGCTCAAGGATTTATTTGATTTTGGCAAGTTCTTTTGACACAAATATTCAATTTTGGAATCCTAGCATCTCCATTTAGCCTTCATCTCAATATATTGGCCTTAATATCCTTTTAAAAAGTGCATAAGTCTGTTACATGAACACTTACAGAAGTCTCATATTGAAAAAACTGATTTCACATTATTAGTCAAGTTCTTAGCTAGGTATTAATGACTTAATATCTTAGGAACTTTATTCATACTGTTGGTGATAGCTAAAATTTATTACATATATTTCTCTGAAAGTATGCTGTATCTATCCATATAATCTTATTTTCAATGCCACAGTTCAATATGAATATTTAAATTATGTTTCAAACTTTGCACCACAAAATTATTTTTTATGGCTTTGAGGCACTTTTTTAACTGGAAAATGTAGAATAATCCATTTCCTCTCTGGCTCAGGTTGTCTTCCTTTCCCTTTCCCTAGTGACATGCCAAGCAAACTGAAATAACACTTGAGAAAAGTTATTTAAAACATACCGTGTAAAGAATGGGAGAGCATAGGCTGTTTTTGTAACTATTTGTTTTATATATAAATGTTTGAATGGTTGTAATCATTGAACAAATATAATTGTTTTGGAACATTGTAGGATGCAGCACAGTCTGCTGGTTTTCATCCTTCAGGGTCTGTAGTTGCAGTAGGAACGCTAATTGGAAGGTAAGTCTTAAACATGTTGCCTCAAGTAATGGATTTCCATAGTTGTTAAATATTAGGCTACTTTTTGGGGTTTAAGCCATGAATACTTTTGGCATTAAAAACAGGATCCATATCACAAATAAATAGCCACTAGGGTTGAAACAAAGCTCTTCCCTGTTTCAGTTTGTTTATTTATTTACAAATTTTAATCTTAATATTTTAGTTTTTATGTTAAAATTATATCTGTCATCCTTTTAATGTTTAGAGTAATAGTTTACATCGCTTGTAAACCAAAAGGATTAAGGGATACCACGTACTTTTTACGTGGAGGATACAAAGTTGGTAGAGGCTGAACTAAGGCTAGCTTTGATTTGATTCAACAGCTTTCATATGAAACAACTTTTCCTCTTAATGTTTTTTAACAGGTGGTTTGTGTTTGATACTGAAACAAAGGATTTGGTCACTGTACATACAGATGGAAATGAACAGCTGTCCACAATGCGTTACTCACCAGGTTTGAAGTTGTTTATTTTGGCATCATTTGATCAGTTGGTTAATCAAAAAAGAATTTTCCTAACTTATTTATTAATCTCCATAAATAACAGTTTTGCAATTCTTGCTTCTGCTGCTCAGAATCTCTGTAAATAAAATAGTGAATAGTGAATATGATTTGATTTGTTTAATCAGAATAACATTTCAACTGAATCTGAAATTTCTTATTTTTTTCATCAATTGCAAATTCATATCATTTCCTTTTGGCATAATGAAGCTACCATGACTTGGCATTTCAGTCAGTTCTTTTGATTTAGGTGTTTCTGGATTAAGCTCTTGCACCATGTTACTAGGATCCCTTTGAAAATAGTAGAATAATGAAGTGTTGTGTCAAAAATCCATATGCATCAAGTTTGTCCTAACCCAGTGATTCTCAACTTTCTAATGCCGTGACCCCATAATACAGTTCCCCATGTTGTGGTGACCCCCAAGTGAGTGTGGCCACCAATAAGAGAGAGTAGGACATCTAGGGAAAAGGGAAAAAAATGGCGGACAGCATGGTTTGGCGACCCCCGTGAAATGGTCATTTGACCCCAAATGGGGTCCCGACCCACAGGTTGAGAACCACTGTCCTAACCTAAGATGATCATTACGCTAACATTTTCTGGAGGTGGAGCTGAGAAGCTCGATGTGACATCAGATATGGTTATAAGAAGCAGACTTAACGGGGAACCCAGAGTGGGATGGGCCCACTGAGTGGCTTGTTTGATTGCTTGTTGTCACCAGGAGAGGTGGGGGAGGTTATTGGTTTTACTCTTTGTAGTATTGGGTTTTTATTTTTTTGTAAGCTGCCTAGAATCCGTGAAAGTGAATGGGCGGCTATATAAATTACCTAAATAAATAAATAAAAATAAACAAATAAGCTAATATGGTAGAATTTAACCACATAGTTACAATTCCTCTCTTGTAGTAATGGAAAGCTTGGTCAGGGCACATCTTAATTACTTTGGGGATCCAGAGTATCCAGTTGTTGCTGGGACTATGTTTTTTACCCATTTGTCACTGGTAGACCATGCTAAAAGCTTACTTTTTATGTTGCCTCAGTGCAATGGACTTGTGCATTCTAGATCCTTGTGATTCAAACCACAAAGTGTTGCTCTTTTCAAGTCACATTGATCTGAATGAAATATAAGTAGCCAATTAATTAATTTTATATAGCTGTCCAGCTCACCAAAGGTGATTATGAGCAGCAAACAAGGATCAATAAAAACAGTAAATAAATAAAAACAAAAATATACAATATAAAAATCTTATTAATAAATATAATAGCAAAAATATTGCCCCTTGAGCAGCCAAGCAAGTTTTACGTTTTCTAATATCTTATGGTTTTTATGATTGAATAAAAACTCTCAGTGAAATATATGCTATTATTATAATCCTAGTAATTAATAAAATCTGAAATTGTATTATGGTGACCCCTCAATTCAATTCCTTGTACAAAAGAAAACATGAATAATAAAATTAAACAAATCGTATGATAAAAATCAGCTAAGAATTCATTTTTAAAAAGCAGTCACCACAGTTAATTCCATATGCCACAAGTCTAAAAGCCTTTGGAAATGCTTTAAGGAGAGAATATGACAAACTATTGTTGAAATGATTTATATCAATTAATAAACTTAAGATGTCTTCATTCCCTGAAATAGGGCCTCAGATTTAAACTAAAACATGGATTCATGTAGGAGAAAGGGATTTTGTCAGTGCCTTAGTGTATGTAATCTCACTTCCAGATATCTTTTAAAGTTCTTGCTCAAATTGCATCTCTGCCTTCATCAGTGTGATTATAGTTTTACTGTTTTTGTTCTGCAGATGGTAACTTCTTGGCAATAGGTTCTCATGACAACTGCATTTATATATACAGTGTTAGTGACAATGGAAGAAAATACAGTAGAATTGGCAAATGTTCAGTAAGTCAAAATCTTATTACATTCTTAGGCATACAGTCTTATTTTTGTATTTATTTAATATTCCCAGTTGATTTATTTAATGTCTTCAAAGTTTAGGAATAACAAAAATATGTGAAAATATTTAATTCTATAGAAAAATTAATTATATTTAAATGATTAAATATTCTATGTAATGGTGCCTACCTTGGACAACAGTATTCCTCCTCTAAAGTGTGCATGGCTCCAACTTTGTTGGCCATTCAGAAGGTCTAAAAACACGGTTGTTCCTCAAGTTTTAGGACTAAGATGTTAGTGATGTCCTGCACTGACGGATGAGTTGAATAGAGGGAGTTTTTTGACATATTTTTTGTTTGCATTGCTTCCAGGTAGACAGTAACAATAATTAGGGATTCAAATACAAAAAAGTAAATAGATGAGAATTGATTGTACTTATGAACCAGTAATTAAAATCATTTTGATACTGGAGAATGAGTTACTGATTTCTCATTCAAATTATATAGTCAGGATTACCATAAATAAATGTACAAGGCAAATATAAGTTTTTAAGGTCAAAGTATAATGGTATGTGAGAAAGACATTGGGAGACTGGACAAAAAGATGCTTCCAAGAGAATGGTCAGCTAAGAAACAGTTTAGTCCATAGTTGAATAGTAGGACAAAAGTCGTGGAAGACACCCTCCCTAGTTTTTTGGGCTGTAAAAGAGATGAGGGGAGAGAGAAAAAAATGTACTTTCAGGCTTGCAAGATTCTGTCAATGTAGTGTTACAAGTAGTATTAGCTCATCTGGTCATGTTTCCTATTTGATTTGCCCCATGGGGCCGAATATCTCTTTGTTCTTTTGATTTTTCACAGTAGAAAAAGAGGTTGTTAGTTTTTTAGTCACTCCACTGGAAACATTCCACAACTTCTGGTTTGTTGCAAGATACAACTATGTATAATGTGAATCAAATAGCTTTTTATATGTAGTAGTAGTACAATTATATTGAAGAATGTTATGCTGTTGGAATTAATATAATGTATCTCTCTTCATAGGGTCATTCCAGTTTCATTACTCACTTGGATTGGTCTGCTAATTCTCAGTATCTTGTGTCTAATTCAGGGGATTATGAAATTCTATACTGTAAGTAACAAATAATATATTGCCCTTAATAGAGAATATATTCTTTAGTACCAAGATTCCATTACAGCAAAGATTATCTTTGGTCTTTTAGTTTTCAGTTAATTGTTATTCTAAAGCTTTATTATTAATGTTATATCTTTTTTCATTTCTCATTCTTTATTCTTAACAGGGGTTCCTTCAGCTTGTAAGCAAGTAGTAAGTGTTGAAACCACTAGAGATATAGAATGGGCTACTTACACATGTACTCTAGGATTTCATGTTTTTGGTAAGTATATGACTTTAGTACTGCCATCTATAGGCAATATATAATATTTATAATATTGGAGGCATTAGCTTTCATTCACTTCTAGTAACAGACTCCATATTTTATAGTATGATTTTTTTAAATTGATTTGTCCTGGCTATACTATTAATACCTGTTTCTATTCCATTTTGTATTCTTCATGGTTATAGGTACATGATAAATTTAATAGCACTACTATTGTTACTACTACATTGTAATCTACATAAATTCCATTTTTCTTTCCTCACAGCAACATATTTGATTTGGTTTTATACTTTGTGCTAATCCGTAATGAGCATTACATGGCTCTGTATCGGACTATCTTATGAATCTAGCTATCATTTACAAACCCTGGTTTATATTATATAATTTAAATCTAGCTATTGTCAAATATTGAACAATCCATAGTAGAACCATGATATATTTACACAGCCTTTGTTTTCTAAACCTGTACATATACCAGTCTAACAAAACACTTTTTTTTTCTTAAACCAGTGCTGTATCCCAGCACACATTTCAGTCTCTGTTTTTATCTGGGAGATCCATATTCTGATATGCGCCAAGAAATGGGACCTGGATTGTTTGATGCCATGTTTTAAGCAATTCAGAAATGTAATGCGGATAGATTTATAATTTGGGCAAGAAGCCAAAAAGTTGAATACATAAATTATTATTTCTTGTTTTAGGTGTGTGGCCAGAAGGTTCAGATGGCACAGATATAAATGCTCTTTGTCGCTCACATGAAAGAAATTTATTATCAACTGGTGATGACTTTGGCAAAGTACATCTCTTTTCTTACCCATGTTCACAGTTTAGGGTAAGGCACCAACTATATTAGAGACTATTTATATAAATTGTTCTGATTAAAGCATTCATACCATTTGATTTGAATATTTTGAAGAGGGTATCTCTTATTTGTATTCTGCCAACTTTAACATTGTTTCAGTTATTTTAATAATTAGAAAGAGAAACTCAATTATATTTATAATTAGATTTGTTTCTTTCATTGAATTTAATGCAGATTTAGATAATACTTTATGTAACAATTTATATCACAGTCATTCAGTAAATACATTGTTCTCCAGCATGATAGATGTAGCATCCACCAATGGGTAATCAAAGCCTTCCTGGTCAGTTTAGACTAAGACCAAACTTTAGCCATGCCTCCCTTGGGCGGTCCTTTCCTGTTTTTGTCTTAGTCTGAGCTCAGTAGGACACAACTTTGCTAGCTCCTCAGATAGCCTAATTTAATTAGTCAGATTTAGGATAGAAAGGTTAGAATTTTTCATTTAGTTTTGTGTTAAATTAATTGCTGTTTGCTAGTGATTGTACAAAGACAGGATTTCCATCAGTTTGGGAGCGTTCGTCCCAGGGGCCTGCCTGGCCTCTCGGATCGCTAGGAGCTATGCCGTGGAGTAGTGGATTCAGCGCCTATCATCTGTTTGGCGCTACGACGGGAGTTCCCCGAGCGCCTGGGAGCGATTTCTTCGTGAGTGCTCCAGAGAATTAGGCCGAACGGCCGAGTTGCCTCCGTCTTGCCTCGTGGCCACGAGGCTCCAGCAACGATCGGCCCGCAGCTTGCCTGCACAGCAGAAACGCAAGTGCTTGGTTGCCTTATAAATTAAGGGGGTGAGAAGAGATTATTTTAAGCTCCCTTGGGCTTCCTGAATAGGCTAAAGAAGGGCTTGTGGAGGCTTAATTTAAGATTGGTCTCACAAGCGTCGCCATTTTAGGCAGCAAGGGGACTCGGGCCGCCATTTTGGATACGGTGCTGGGTGTGGTCGTCATCTTGGAGAGGCCTACATTCAGGGCTGATATCAGGCCGATTACTTCCAGTAGCCTACTGCGTTAGGCTCTCATGGGGGTTTATCAGGCATATTTATTCCACCTTTTTTTCATAAGGATTCCTCAGAAGGGAGGTGTATTCCTTTTTTTGATTCTTGTTGCATCACTCACAACCAATTTCATTGACAGATTTAATTCTGTGGGAGAATTTTGGAGGACCTGTTCTTTTAGTTCGTGGCGCTGTGTCGCAGGGCCTAAGCGGACAGTTCTAGTGAGCTGTCTGACTGTTTGTCATTGCGGTTGTTCAGGGCGCGGGAAGCTTCCCTCCTGGACAACTTGATCTGCGTGCTTTTACCCCCACTTCTGGGCTTCTCCTATCTGGAAGGTCTAGTGCGCAATGGCAGACAGTGATACTCCTCAGACATTGCAGGGTTCTGATGTTCCCCCTGCACAATCTAAACGCAGATCTTCAGATTTGAACACGGGGGGAAAGAAGAAGGCCAAGACCAAGCATTTGTGCACCAAAGAACCCTCCAAGGCTGCTGAGCGAGAGGCCTCGAGGAGACATCTGGCACTGGAGAGAGAATTCTCCAAAGTTCAACGGCTCAGGTCCAGCACTGAAGTGGTTCCCCCTGCTTTGCTGGACAACTCAGCATTTGAGCCTCCACTGGTGCCATCTTATCAGGCTCCCAGAGCTTGGTCTCCTCAAGGGGGAACTGAACAGGTTGGTCTCCCTCCTCCTATTCATCCTACTTCTCCACCTCCTCATCCTGATCCTTCTGTTCAGTCTGCTACCACCACTCCACAGGCTCCTCAAGCCACTGCTCCTAGTGTTGGTTCAGCAGAGCGAACCTTATGGGCACAGTAGTTCCAGACGTTTATGCACCAGGCGTTTGATCAATTTATGTCATCTTCCATGGCACAGGGGTGTCCACAGATACCGCTTCCCCTACCCTTGTCCGTAAGTCGCACTGGGCATATCCAGTCAGCAGGCTCGGGCATTTCTGAGACTTTATCTCAGCTAGGAGAGGCTGAGTCTGTGGGCCTGGAGATAACTGACATCCCTATGTCTGAGGATGAAGAGGTGGCTCCGGATCCAACCCCAACATCGGGTCTCTTTGATCCTTCTCTATTTAGGTCACTTTTGTTAAAGGCCTGCACCATGGCCAATTTGGTTACAGAGCAGGAGCCTAAACCGTCTACCTCCACTGCACAGGAGTCTAATCCTTTGTTTGCGATACAGGTTGTGGACGAAAAACAGGTTCCTTGCCCAGCTGGTTTCCACACTACGGTGGAGAAGCAGTGGTCTACCTCCGCCCAATAGCATGGAAAAGAAACTGTTTAATGTCTCATCTACATTTTCTTCCCTCCTAGAGGTACTTACAGTAGACACTCCCTTAATCTCACTGTTCTCCACATCCACAATTCCTAGAGATATGGCGGAGGCTCTCAAAGCGGAGGATAAAAGGTTCGAGTTTTCCCTCCGCAGGGCTCATCAGGCCTCAGCCTGGGCAATCAGGGCTGCAACGTCCTCGTACTTTTTCACGAGGACTTCCATTATATGGCTCCGTGAATTATAGGCTCTAATCCCTACGGATCATGTGCGTGCACAACAGACCTTAGGTAAGCTGGTAGCTGCAGCAGAATATATGGCAGATGCATCCCTCCACTCGACCAAGTATTCCGCTAGATCTATAGCGGCCACGGTAGCATCACGCAGATTGTTGTGGCTAAAACAGTGGAGGGCTGACCTGAAGTCAAGGTGGCATCTAGCTACAAACACCTACAGTGGTACCCATTTGTTCGGTCCGGTCCTGGAACCGTACCTAATAGAAGGGAAAGACAAGCGAAAGACCTTGGCTCACCCTTCTAAGAAGGCGGTTAGAAAACCCCAACAAGAATGTCGCAGGCAGTCCTTTTGTGCTGGAAGTTCTTGGGAATGGAGACAGCCCTTTCGATCAGGGCAGTCCTGGGATTGGCCCAGAGGTTCCTGATCCTTTTCTCCCAGACAGGATCGCCAACAGGACCGCCAAAGTACAGGAACCAGGGGTCAATCCCAATACAAGCGTCCTTTCAGAGGAGCTGGGGGCCGCCCATACAGGAAGTCTAAGTGACACCAAATCGGATCCTCCTATAGGCGGTCGCTTAGCTCTTTTCAGTGACACCTTGGAGGTCACCACCAACGATACCTGGGTAAGGGAGACCATAAAATTCGGTCTAACTCTAGAATTCAAGTCTATTCCCCCAGATCACTTCATTCAGTGCCCGTCCTCAAGACACTCAAGCAAGGCCGAGTTAGTATCCAAGGCCATATCACACTTGTTAGATATAGAAGCCATAGAGCCAGTACCCCTGGACCAAAGGGGAAAGGGGTTTTACTCCATCCTCTTCGTGGTCCCCAAGGCCTCGGGGGGTTGGAGGGTGATTTTGGATCTGAAGGGACTAAACTACTTCCTAACTTACAGGAGGTTCAAGATGCAGACCCTCAGGTCCATTCTGGCCAGCATCAGGAAGGGAGATTTCCTCTCCTCCATAGACTTCACAGAGGCTTATCTTCATGTCCCCATCCGACCCCATCACCGCAGATTCCTTCGGTTTTGCCATGCGCACAGACATTATCAGTATAGGGCCCTACCCTTCGGCCTATCCTTGGCTCCTCGAGTGTTCACAAAACTACTGGCAGTATTAGCAGCCCATCTCAGACTGATGTCGGTACGAGTGCAATGCTACCTGGATGATATAACCATCCAGTCCAGTTCATTCCGTTCTGCTCAGATAGATTTACAGACCACAATAGATACACTCCAGAGGCATGGCTTCTCCATGAATTTCAAAAAGAGTCACACCACTCTGACCACTCGGATATTACATCTAGGGGCAGTGATAGATTCAAACCTATGCAGTGTTTATCTCTCCCAGGAACGCAAGGACAGCATCAGATCTCTAGTTCACAGGATCTGGAGAGAGAAGGTGGTTCCACTTGTCCAGTTGTCTCAGCTGTTGGGAAAGATGATCTCTTGTCTGGGAATAGTGCCATGGGCAAGACTTCACTCCAGACATCTACAGTGGTTCCTACTCCCCTTCCAGAAGCGGAACATGAGTGCTTCCACGTGGAAGGTGAGAGTTCCACACCACACACTGTTGTCACTCCAATGGTGGGCGTCGGCAGCTATACACAGAGGGTCACTTTTCAAGGAAGCTCACAGACTCATCCTGACCACAGACGCCAGTCTGTTTGGTTGGGGCGCACACATACAGACACACATGGCACAGGGCTAATGGTCCCAGTCCGATCTAGCACACAATATAAATTGGCTAGAACTCAGGGCAGTACACCTGGCGCTCCGCCAATTCTCCCACAAAGTAACAGGGAAACACATCTTGATAATGATGGACAACGTCGCAGCCAAAGCCCATGTCAACAGGCAGGAAGGAACCAGATAGTGGTCATTCATGCAGGAGGCCCTAGCACTGGGTCTGTGGGCAGAGTCCAATCTGGAATCCATCAGTGCAGAACACATATCTGGGGAGGCGATTCGCCAAGCCGATTCTCTGAGCAGGCGACGGTAGACCACTCGGAGTGGCACTTGGATCCAGCCCTATTCAGGGAGATATTGGACAGGTTCAGACAGCCTCAGGTGGACCTGTTTGCCTCACCAGCAAACGCTGAACTGCCCAGATACTTCACGAGGTTTCCGTCACGGGGGGCGGAGGGAGCGGATGCTCTCCGCAGCAGGTGGCCCAGGGGACTTCTGTACGCATTCCCTCCACTTCCACTGATTCCAGTTATCATCCGAAAGCTTCTCTTAGAACAGGCAGAATTAATCTTGCTGGTCCCACACTGGCCAAGGTGTCCTTGGTTTGCCGACCTCGTGGATCTATCGATCTCCCTGCCATGGAAGATCCCTCCAGATCGCATCTGTCTCAGTCAGGGTCAACTCCAACACCCAGAACCACAGTGGCTTCAACTAACCGCTTGGCACTTGAGCGGGAGAGCTTATCAAGGCAGTCCTATTCATCTGGAGTGATTACCGTAATTCAAGCCTCCAGACGTCCTTCAACCAATAGGATTTATGATGCCACGTGGAGACATTTCTGCATGTGGTGTAACACTCTGAAAGTTGACCCGCTGGCTGTCACCATCCCGATCATATTAGACTACCTTTTAGAGGGCTTGAACAAGGGACTGACTCATAGTACCATTTGCAGACAGATTGCAGCATTATCCACTGTGCTCACTTGTAAGAATCAGGTCCAGTTATCACATCACCCGGCAATTGCGGCCTTCCTTAAGGGAGCCGTTAACACTGGTCCTCCTGTGGTGCCTAGATATCCCACATGGGACTTGCCAAAAGTGCTGCAAGTCCTCACTGGGTCACCGTTTGAGCCCATTAGTTCTTGCTCTCTGCACTTTCTTTCCTTGAAGATAGTCTTTTTGGTAGCCATCACATCGGCAAGACATATTTCGGAACTGGCCGCACTCTCGGTCAGGAGTGACCTGTGTATTTTTCTGGATGACAGAGTGGTCCTCAAATTGGATCCTTCTTTCATTCCGAAAGTCAATACCTGGTTCCATAGGTCTCAGGACCTGGTTCTCCCGGATTTTTGTCCTCGACAGTCTCATCGCCTGGAAAAGTTGTGGCACACGTTAGACGTGCGCAGAGCTTTGCATCACTATGTGAAACGAACTGCAACATTTCGCAGGATGGAGGCACTGTTCGTGTCATTCCAACCTTCTTCCACGGGTCTGAAGGTGTCATCTTTAACCATTGGAAGATGGATCAGGGAGTGCATCTCCTATGCATATAAGGCCCAGTCCCTTCCGGTTCGTGCCAACATCACAGCTGATTCAATGTGTAGCACGGCCACATCTGCGGCCTGGTCTACCCAGGCTTCGGTTGAGATTTGAAGGGCAACCACGTGGTCTTCCCCCTCTTCATTTATAAGGCATTACAAGCTTGATAAGTTCGCTGCGACAGATGCATCCTTCGGCAGAAGGGTCTTGCAGCAGGTAGTTTCTACACATAAATCACAAGCCTAGACTTTCCCTCCCGACAGGGACATGGGTGGCTTTGGTATGTCCCATCGGTGCATGCTACATCTATCATGCTGGAGAAGGGGCGTTGTCTTACCTGAACGCCTTTTCTCAGCATGAAGATGTAGCATCCACACCCACCCTTAACAGTCAGTCTAGGCAGATTTCTTACAGGAGGAGCTATTGTGTCAGACCTCATGAAGGCTTCGCCTTGTCAAAACTGGGAAAGGACCGCCCAAAGGAGGTGTGGCTAAAGTTTGGTCTTAGTCTAAACCAGGGGTATGAGCAGGAAGGCTTTGATTACCCATCGGTGGATGCTACATCTTCATGATGAGAAAAGGCATTCAGGTAAGACAACACCCCGTCTATATAAGTTTCCTCATTAGCATTTTAAAATAGTATGGAATTATATTAATTAATTTAGATAAAGTTGTTCAAAGAATTATAGAATGATTCATTTAAGAAATTATAAAACAGAAACATTAGAAGAGTTGCATACCTGAAAGAACTTAATTATTTAATATCTGATTTCTCAAACAAGCTAGGAAACGCATTTACACCAAATAGCAATAGCACTTAGACTTATATACTGCTTCAGAGTTCTTTACAGTACTCTCTAAGCCAGGGGTGTCAACCTGGCAGCTCATGGGCCAGAGGGGTCAAGCACAGGCCATGCCCACCCTGGCTGCACAAAGGCAAAAAAAGTCGCAATATGTCACAATACATCACGTGATATGATCGAGTTTGACACCTGTGTTCTAAGCAGTTTATAGAGTCAGCATATTGCCCCCAACAATCTGGGTCCTCATTTTATCGACCTCAGAAGGATGGAACACTGAGTCAACCTTGAGCCAGTCAGAATCAAAGGAATTGAACAGTGAGCAGTGAGCAGAGTTAGCCTGCAACGCTGTATTCTAACCACTGCGCCACCACGGCTCATCAATGTTATAGCCATTCTTACAATTTTAAAGATAAAATTGGCTTTATTCTTTTTATAGCTTTCAAAATATATCCTAAAATCTCTAAATGAATCTGATATGCTACGGATTATGATGTGCATTATCTTGAAAAGTTAGTGAAGTTATTTTCGATGTGGTATTCACCTCTGTGTTTATTTCCCAGTCTAACTTTCATCCCTGATATTCCCTGGTAGTTGCACATCTATTCTGATCTTGCTTAGCTTCTTACCTGAGTCAAGGTCAGATAGGTGGTATCACCTGCTGAACAACATGGCATGATTTCTCTGGAGATTGGTCTCTAATTATTAGCTATAACTGATAGGTTTCCATTCTCTTTACCAATTCTGACTGTATTACTGAATGTGCCTTTTTTATTTATGTGTTTCAGGCTCCAAGTCATGTGTATGGTGGACATAGCAGTCATGTAACCAATGTAGATTTTCTATATGAGGATACTCATCTCATCTCCTCAGGTGGAAAAGATACTAGCATTATGCAATGGCGAATTATTTAGGAGAATCCTTGCATGAAGCTATATGTGCAAACAAGAACTGGCCTTGCATCAAAGTTCTGTACAAAATGTATATTGAAAATTTAACAGTATGGTTACTCTCTAGCCTAGTCACTGTGATTTTGAAATTTCAAGATTCTTACAAACCTCAGGAAAGTTAAGTCCTTGGCTACTTACAATAATTATTTTGGTTATTCTTAAGCATCACTTCAAAAAACAATTATCATCTCTTTGTTGTATATTATATGAAGAAATTCAAATTTAAAATGAAGTCATGGCTTGAATATTTATGCAATATAAATGAAAAAAACTCTATTAAATAATCACTGAAAAGCTTATTCTGATATTACATATGGCTGCTTCGCTGTTTTATTGTTTATCAGCTTTGTACTGTCTAACTATGTTGTCAGAATAATAATGATTGCGTAGATGATGGTACATCTATTTCTAATAAACAGTGAAGAAAGCAGACAGAAATTTTAGACTAAGGTGAGATAAGTAGCCATTAAACCCTGCTGTTCTCTGTTGTTCAGTGGAACCTTCATAGGTTTGCTTCTGAAATGAAATAAAAGGTTCAAACAACATTTTTGGCCAATTTGCTACTAGAGTTATAAATCCTTTCAAAGAGGAAATGTGAAGATTATAACGTTCATTGATTTGCAACTAAAGAATTGATTTCAGTAAGATTAACACTGTTGGATTGTGCTTTGATTTCATTGTCTCTGAAATTATAAGGACTATTATATCTATGCTGCAGAAATCCAGATGAACACCAGATGGCAGCAAGGAGATGAGAGATTTTTTTCCTGCCATGTAGTTCAGGGGTGTCAAACTCGTGACTTATCGTGACTTTTTTTCCATTGCCGGCAATGGGGTGGGCGTGGTTTTGCTATGATGCATCCGGCCTGCAGGCTGGCAGTTTGACACCCCTGATGTAATTGAATGGAAGGGGAAAAAATGTTTACCCATATTTTTATAGCATATATGTTATGGCCCTAAATATGAACTACCACAGTTTTAACTTGAATATAGGAACAGGAATTACAGCTCCAACTTAAATTGAAAGATAAAAAATTAATGAACATTTGTTACGAATAATGACCTGTCTGATCCCATCTCAGATGTTTGGTTGATAGAGGAAACCATTCTGTATGTTGATCAGCATGAATGTTTATACGTGTATAAAATGTTAGAAGTTCATAAGAAATAGTGAATCATTCAAAGCTTTACTTGTCTTTTGCTTATGGATATTGTATATTTGTATTTTAAGGCCCAGTAGATCATGTATAAAGAGATCTTTTTAAGCTTACTATAAAACAGCAGAGGAAATGGGAAAATAAACATGTGAACCATTAAGAAAAAATTTCTGGTCGCTGGGGCTAATATATTTACTATGTTTTTAGAGGTGTCAGTGCAGCAGTGTTCAATTTGAGAGGTCTGTGTCCCATTGCCGGGGAAGACTGTTGTCAAATCACATAATGCAACCACTTGGCAAAACATAATGTTTGGGAATGCCCTGCATAATAATGAACAATTTACCCTTTTTTGCTCTTGAGTTTTTCATGGACTGGTATTTATAGCATAAGAAGAGACTAGAGATAGCACAAAATAGCTCATATGCCCTTAAGCTTTGATTGTTTAACTAATTGAAAATTATTGTTTATATTGAGAAATCTATCTAAATATTTGAAATGAACAAAATTATAAGCAGACTCGGAAAAGCTAAATAATAAAGAGATTTTTTCCTCAAATGGAAAGGAAACATTAAGTTCCAGTTTTTAGAGGCTGAAGTTTTAATAAATTGGAAGCCTTCTAAATTACATTTCCAACATGCTACATTGAAATTGCAGGACACCAGTAAACATCAGTGCACTGTACTAATTAAAATTATACCTTTCAATATGAGTTGAATTTGACATTGAAACTTTTAATACATTATACAAGAATAGAATTTTCCAAAGCAATACGAATCTGCATGAACTTTGCATTTATATTTGTATTTGTAATTATTAGCTTTTATTCAGAGAAGGTGAAATCAGACCATCAGTATTGGATTTCTATATACAAAATTTATTGATAGAATTCATTTGTTGCATTGTACAGTATGTCCTAAACATTTTAAATAAATTGCAGTGAATACTACAATATCAGAAAATTTATATTAAAACCTCTGAACTCAGTAAAACCTTTAACAAAATAAGTACTAGATAAAATAATACTTTAGAAATCAAAACTAGAGAAAAAATCAGAACAATTCTAAAATTAGGAAAATATACAAAAATACAAAGTTAAACTAAAATAGCTCTTAAAATGTTTTTTATATACTCCTCATCCTGAAAGTTTTAATAAACATTTTTTCAATGCATATTAAAATTATAAGTGTGAATTTACCCAGAGAAGTTAGTAGGATGTGAACTATGGTTATCACCTCTGAATAACTTTTGCTCTACACCTGAAAGCTCCCTTATCTGGCTCCATCAAATTGATTCAGGATTGTAGGAAGGTTTCCTGGCAAAAAGCATTGACTACTCTTTGTAGGTGTACATGATAAATGACTGTAGCATATTTATTTTGTTTTAATCTAATACCATAAAAGCAAAAGTCTGGTCAGGATGTTTTTTATTTAGAATTGCTCATGGTTTGTTAATTTCCATGTAACAGTTTTTCTGCTGGATCAATCTATAGAATCAACATGGTTACCATACTGTTTCTCACAGTGGCACTGGGTGCCATCAAGCAATAACAGAGGAACAGAGGTCTCTGTTGCTTTGCAACTGGTATTCCTTTGTAATTAGTAGAAGGGACTACTATTTAATAGATTTCTCCAAGTGAGTGGCCATTACCATGCCTTGTGATGAATTTGACACCTTAATTATATATTGTCTGAAGAAATGCTTTCTTTGTTCTTGTTTACCTTCTAAAAAGCTTTATTGGATGACCTACTTTTGAGGGAGGAGAAAAATCTCTGCTATGCACTTCAATCATGCCACAACATTTCTTTGATCCTTTGTAGCAGCTACCTAGAAGCAATCCTTCCATTCAGCAAATGGAAACTATTTCTCCACTAACACCAACTGCTACCATATCTTAAAAGAGTCATTCACCTAACATATACAACAATAAACCCATTAAATTGAAGATTATTTACTTCAGAATACACTTTGCTCCTTTTTTCTGCCGAAAGCATCAGTGGATTGTATACATTATGTGTACACATGCTTACCAATTCAGGACATTTTAAATGATAGATCAACCGGACAACACCCATTGAAAAGACAAATTCCTGCATCTTAAATGCTTAAAATTTGTAACTACATCTCAGCAAGTAAGCTCCACGACTGCTATTAACAAGTTTGGACTCTATTTTGTTCAATGCAAAGAACAACCTTTACCGATTGGAAGTACTGATTTTGAGGTGACCAGCTCCAATGGATTCCCAGCTATAGTGTTTGGTTTTGAGGTGAATTATAGACCAACTGGTAAGGCACAGCTGCAGACTGGAGAAAACCACGATATACACAAAACGTGTTAACATTTTGTATTGGTTTTAAGAAATAAAACAACGGCGGGAGCCCACGAAAGTTTGTGCACACACAATACATTTAATAGGTTACCCTAAGACTGCATTAATTGCGAGGAAAATATCAGCGGCGGAGCCCCGACTCCTTTTAAAAGAGCAACCAGCACAGTCCTACAATACGAAGCGGAAAGGCGCCCACACCTTGCTTGTACCGACAGGCGCGTGCGCGCTTGCCGGTGTTTGTATTTGTTGCAGAAACGTTCCGCGTGCGTTCTCCCCTTTGCGCGTGCCTGGATGGGCTTGCCAGGTCCGCGGTGCTCGTGAGAGCTGCAGAAGCGGCAGACAGGCTGGCGGAAGTGTCTCTCGGCAGCAGTGGGCAGCAGAGCCCCGCGGGCTTTGTGCGCCTCCTCCTCCTCCTCCCTCGCCAGCGATTTGTCCCACGCCCACTCTTGCCTCGCCACATCCCGGGAAAACGGCGGGGGGAGATGGCCTGGGCCCTGGACCAGCTGCCAGGCGCCGAGGAGTGGCTCCCCAGCTAGCGCTTTTAGCCAGGGGGAGGTAAGAAGATGCCACTGCCTGCGAGCCGGAGGAGCCGAGCGAGGCGGCAGAATTGAAGAGCAGATGCAAGAAAGGAGTCGCCAGCGCTCGGAGGGCTTTTCTTCCTCCTCTCGGGCGCTCCTCCATTGAGCATCTGACAGCCAGAATAGCAGCTGCTGCGGCTTTTGCTGCAGGAGCGTCGCCGAATCCCGGGCCGGGGCGGGGAAACTTCCCGCTGTGCGGTGGGGGGAAAGGCGGCTGGCTAGAAACGGCTGCGCAAAGCTCAGCTGCGGGGAAAATGAGGTGAGTCGGCCGAGTTGAGGCGGGTGCTGGAGCTCTCTTTCTTCTCCTCCTCGGGGAGGAGGGCTGGCGCTTTCACCAGGCAGCGGGCAGGTGCAAGTAATGCTGGTTCTGCTCTTCAGAGGAGTATGCGCGGAGTGGTGTAAGAGCGGGATTCTTGGGTCTGCCTCTAGGAAGGACACGTGTGCATTGCAGTCTCGAATCCTCTTTGCCTCTGGCCTAGAATTTCTAGAGCTTCAGTCTAGGCGGAATTGAGCTTCTGTATCCGCTTCCATGGAGAACATGAATAGAACTGCCAATTCTCTTTTTAATTAGCCATTGCTCCTGTGCTCTTTAATAACGGTGGGATCCGCAGCTGTGAGAGACAAAAAAAAAAAAAAAAATCCTTTGTGGCATCCTCATGGCCAGCGGGGTATGGTGGGGTGACACCTGCATCTTGTGAGTTGTCTTATCTAGTTTATTAAAGTCTCGGTACAGTAAATCTGAAGGCCCTATCAAGTGATGTCATTTGCGGGTGTGACAGGTTCACACCACTGTCTACAATTTGTCAAGCATTTGCAGATAGTCGGGCTTCTTTCTTTATGGTGTGGTGCAAATTTTTACTTAGATTTCTTGGTGATTTCTGCAGATCTGTCTAAATGTTTCTTTTTCTGATCTGTTGCCATCCTGAAAACTTGTATCTGTTGTGAGTTGCATCTGATCACATATACTTTCATCTTCTCAAAACTAAGGTCCTTCATGCACTTAACACATAACCCAGTCCTTTGGAAGATAGGCATTGTTCAGAATTGGGGAAACAGTGTATTTCCCCTTCAGGTAATTCAGCTTTACTGTGAGTGCACATAGTAGAAATACATTGGCCTCAAAGAATAGCAGTACAATCATGGCAACTGGCATTAAGAGGAATGATGTCCCAGTGGGTGGCAGGCTTGGAGTCTGTCTTAGAAATGTAAACCCTGTCATTTTGTGTAGTTTCTTCCCTTCTTCAATGAAACAAAGATTATTGGGTCCTTCAGTCTTTCAGCAAATGAAGAGATGGATGCAATGCTTGAGAGTGGTTTAGCATATTATTGGCTATCATGTCTTAAGCTAGTATGACAGATTGCCTGAGTTTGTACTAACAATAATTTAGTATTTTTAAATTAATTTGTTGAACAAATGATAATTACTTCTTTGCATACTGTGTTGTAATCAGGAAGATCATGTGTCCTGTTTTGCCTGACAAAAAATAACCACATAGCATGCTTTTAGGTAAACAAGTCAGTGCTAACTATCTAATGTTTTTTTTTTCTTGAGCAGCTAACTAACTATGGCAGTTTTACAACAATTTTGTTGATGGTTCTGTCAGGTGGTGCATTGGGGGGGGGGATACATTAGATTTCTTTACCAACCCCAGTTTGGAACAGCTCAAATAATATTGACTAGCACTGGTGGAGTTGGTATTGCATGAGGGTCACAACAAATTAGCTCTCTATTTGAACTTCTTAGTACAACATCTCTCTCCTGCTTCTTCTACCTGTTGTTTTGATTGCTTTCGAAAAATAAATTCCATGTTCTTCCGGGGTGGAGGAGGTACATCACAAACAGTAGAAAAGAGTGGTCTTGTGTAATCCCCACCAAGCTGTTGTTTTGAGCTAATTACACTAATTGCCCTACAGCAGGTCTGGGCTACAGGAAGCTGTTTCTATCCCATCCTCTCCAGACTGGAAGACATTGCAGGTAAAAGTGGAGGGCAGGTTCAGAGACATGAATTATGGATTTAGCCATGTGTCAAACCCATCATTAGTTGGATCAATGTTATGATTGATAGATGGTTTCCATCCAATTGATGATACAGTATTAAGAAGCAGGAAGGATAAAGCAGCCTTCCCTACATAGGAAATGAGAACATCATCTTCTGACTATAAGCCAGAACAGAGGCAGTTAGAATTAACAGTGGGAAAGGCTTTAAAGTTTAGGTTTATGATGGCTCACAGATGGGAGCAAAGCATTAAACTGA